AATGGCATCAAGTGGGCGCGTGAGTGAAGCCGGCAGGCGGACTGACGGTGAAACGCCGATTTAAAAGTAGGACTTAGGGTATGTCCAGGGGAAAATAGCCCCTTCGGCCTAACTACGTCGTGTCGACGTCGAGCTGGGATCGATTTTGTAACGTAGCAATGTTGCCACAACGTTGTGCAAAAGGTTGATTCAATGTAACCACAATGTCGAAATGAAACAGTTCAAGGTTGAAAATACGCTCGTGTATCACATAGTGTCAGCATCGGATCGTGAACGTCTCGGCATTGCCTTTTCCTGATGTCGAAGATGCGCTAAAACCACGATGACCTCGCACCGTTGGAATCTCCCGTTCTCCCTCTGAGAGCCCGAAAGTATTCCGGCAAGTAATATCATTCCACGGTTTATTCTACGCGAGGCTGCGATTTCCTTCACTGGATCGGAATACAAGACGAGATGTTGAACGACTCACCTGGCTCTGTCCGGCAAAGGTTTTACTTGTCTGGCCCCGATCCTCACAGCTGTCCCTTTCACAGAGGAGCCCTAAGACCGACCAAGACCTTTCTTTGACCCTCTTTCATCTCCGAAGGATTCAGAAGAGCTCAGACCTTCCTCGTAGCGAAGTCGGTCAGAAAGCAGTCCCCTTCCGCCGGGTTATCTCTCTAAACGGGTCTATCGAGGAATTCCAAAGCCTTCCCAAATGTTGTGCGCGGGAAAATACAGAGTCCATTATGAAAAAAAAATCCAGGGGACTCATTCCGCTGGCATCAGGGTGAATCGTTCAATCAGCGGTTTGGCAGCGTCTCGCTTCGGTTGGTAAACCTTATTTTCTGTTGAGACGACGGAAAAAAAATTCAAATAACATTGAAACTGTTTTGAAGGCAAATGTGATGAGTGAATTTTCACTTAATAGCCTCCAACCCAGTGGCGTGCCCAGGAAATCCGAATGGGGGGGGGGTCGCCATATGAAACACTGATTACCTACCCTAACAGGGGGGGGTTAACATATGAAAAACCTGATAACCCACCCGTATTTGTGTCCAAAGAAAAAATTTTTTGAGAATCGAATCTGTAAAATTGATCCCAAGGGGGATTTTTGACCCCACAACCCCCCCCCCCCCCTTGGACACGCCACTGCTCCAACCGATTTCGTTAGCCCATGGGTAGCTTCCACGGGTTGAAAATGCGGTCAATTACGAATAGCCGGCATTACATAGTTGTTCATTCTTCGCCGATTCAACCATGTCTCAGCGTTTCACCTTTTTGCCGTCGACGCATCGTTGTCGAGCCGTAAGGTCGCCATGCTCATCGCTGATGGGTAGGGTTCTGAATCACATCTAAATAGAAATAGCCCCTGCGCGGTTACGAAGGTACTGATATAATTTTGTCCATAGAATTATGTAAAAACTTTGTCCATTGAATTATGAATGTTTCTTTGGATTTTTTTTTTCCCCGGGAGGTACTTCTCAGGAAAACATGTTGAATCCTAGGATTTTTTTTTTCCAGAAACAGAAACTTGACGGAATTTCAGCCAGTATACTTAATTGAATATCCATAGAGTGGTTCTATGGGACCCTTTTATACAGTCCTAACATTTCATGTTTAGAACATCCATTGAAACTTATTACCTGGGATGTCCTCTAACGATGGAAAGAATAGAATTTGGGTCTAATTTATTATTATTGTTGTTATTATTATTTTACCAGAGGATATGTGAAAGAATTGGATCCCTCGGTAAAGGACATTGCTTGTTAGAAAAATTCTGACGTGTCACACAGGATTTCTGACGCACCGAAACGGAAGCAAATACTCGGTTGAAAAGGTAAATATCGGGGGAAGTGCCGAGGAGGCTCTCCCCCCCCCCCCTCCCCCTCCTGGGGGGGGGGGGGGGGGGGGGGGGGGGGGAGAGCCTCCTCGGCACTTCCCCCGATATTTACCTTTTCAACCCAGAAAGGCGAGTAGGATTCGTGGCCAAGGACGCGACTTGCAGCTGCGAGGCAAGTAGCCAACAAATGGCCTAGAGGCGTCGAAAAACAGGAATCTACCGGATCTACTCTGAGTCAGACTTCCTCCTGACGCATTCGGGGTGGTTGGACGACTGGAGTCCCGCTTGCGAGGGGCAAAAATCACTCATCGAGTCTGGCCTCAATTTTGCCAAAGTTTTCAAGTTCGTCGTGGCGGGATATTGGTGCTTTACATGAGCACGGAAGGTCGACAGACTCATCGAAGGACTACTTCGAAAAACTTGCTCATTTATTTGTGACGAGCACAGCCTTGTGTTACCGCGATTTTGACAGTATGAAGGGACAGCAACTCCTAAATTTCTAGTCCATTTAAACAACTGTCTCCACAGCTTCTGAATTACTTTAACTGGACCACAAAGTATTTTTATTTATTTTCGCAACGTAGTTTAATAACTGATGTCAAATGAACATATCACTAGCTGTCAACGTTAAACATATTGCCGAACTGACGTTTCTTTTTAGGGGTCAGTCCCGGCAACAATATTTTTTCTTAAATCGAGGGAAAAGTTTATTTTTCTATTGGTTCAGCACCTCAAGGTACACAATCCAGGAATACGTGAACTGTAAAATTGTTCATGGCCAGTAGTTAACTACTGTAAAACACAACTCTTGGAGAAAATTCGGAAAAAAAAGTTAAACTAGTAGTTGGACTACAAAGTAGCCAAATGCATCACTGCTTTTTCCCAGTGGTATCCATTTGCGAAGTTTCACTTCGCAACCTTTGCGTTCTCGAAGGGAAACTTCGTTTTCAAGCTCGAAAAACGAACAAGGACTAAGCAGCGTATGCTAAATACTTAAAATCTTTCGACCCAGTCTGCTGTCGTTCAAAACTGGTGTTGCCGTGTCGCCTGAAACCATCAGGCAGGTAAAGTTTAGTTTCCAGTTGGCTCTCGGGGAAAGAAAATCTCTTGCGAAGATGAACGAATTTCACTCACTCGGAAATTTCGCTCACTCGAATTTCTGAGACCCTGTGGACACTCTGCGTTGATCCATGGTGCTCGCCTCTGCGATTTTAGAGGGTCAACACATTCACTGCCGGCCTTTGAAGTTCCCTCTCAACATTTGCCAGGCATTTTTTCCCCCCTGGGTTTCTGAAAATTTGCCGCGTTTAGTTTTAGACGATCAAAGTGAAGCAGTGCTAGTCGAGAGTCTGGAAGGGCGTGATCGAACCGCAAACAGGACCATCTGCTCGCCTGACGGTGGAAAAAAAAAAAAAAACGGATACTTCGAACTCGATCGAGGCAACCGGACGTCAACGGCGAAACGTGCAAGGTCCGAGAAGATTTCTCTCGTTTTTCGAGTGTGCGAGGGTCTGAGAAGGAAAATGGTCGTGCCGTTAAAAAAAAAACCTGGGTCCCTGGACGGTATGCACGCCCACTCGGCGGGCAGTGGATGGCGGTGCGTGAGTGGGCGTGTGAATGTGCGTGAGTGTGGCGGTGACGTCATTAACATTTCCCCCGTCCTTCTCATTCTCTTGCCTGTATTCTTCATCCGTTTGGTGTCTTGTGCGGGTCCCGGCTCGATGCCGCTCCTCTTCCGCCGACGATCGCGCTCCTTCTCGACGTCGTGTATCGTTTTTTTTTCCTTTTCCTTCCTCATTCCTGACTCGAATAGTAGTTACACGTGTTATCGTGTTTCCCATCCGTGTTTTGCCTTTGGAATGGTTTTAACACCGGCGGCTTTTGCGACGTCTCTCATCATCCGCTCTCATCCGTGAACGTCCCGTTTCCTTTTTATTCACGCGTTTTCCATCGTCCTCGTTCTATCGCGTCGGATAATGCCCCTAGGTGACATCACATATCGAAGGCCCGAAAGCAGGAATCCCCGGAGTCCTTGTGTCGACGACTCTTACGGCCGACTTTCACTGCATTCCTGCGAGAGCCCCGTGCGTGCCCTTGATTTCTGTCCCCCGAGTGACCTTTGTGGAGACGGTGGAGGGTGTCCTCTTGTATCCGAATCCAGCCATTCTCCGAGGAATAGTCTTATTCAGGATAAGAACGGAAGTAAGCTAAGTGGGGATATGTATAGCACATCCTTCCGCAAATGGGTTTTCTGAGCAATTATTAGAAAAAGCCAAGGAAGGACGCGTGATACCTGATGCGCACCGACTCGAGAGGGAGGGGGAAAAAACAACGGAAGCAATTATTACGAGTCAACTTTCTCTATTTGCTGCATCCTCGGCCGCTCACTGCCTCCCTCGTGACCTAGACCGAGTGCGATCGGGTCATGCATAATTCATCCTCGACAGGGATGAATCTGCCCGAGTATTCATGCCGTGGGTTGCGAAATTCATCACGAGGGATGGACGTGGGCCGTATATCATTGGTCCGACTGGAGGAGTTCGGAAAGTTCATGACGCTCTTCTGTCTCTCTCCCCTTCATTTCCAAGTCCTATGTCTCAGGGACACCAACGAAAGGAGAAGCATAACATTTTCCGCAACGATCTGGATCCTTATCGAAGCCCCGACTCGCACTCTCGCGGCACCGCATGATGTCACGCCTCCGCCCGAGCGATTAATAAGCGTCGACGGTGCAAAGGGCTACTTCCGCGAAGAGTTGAAGGTCTCGAGGAGGAGCTCGCGTCCTCGTTCCCTCTCAGACCGTGCGAAGTGAAGCGAAACCCGACGCTTTCGGTGAAGCGGACGGACCGAGGTCCGATCGTTGGCGCGAGTGCGTCCAGTCCGGATGTTTTCAACGATTACAGTGACACAGTCATTCCGCTTGCACGTCTTGTCGGGTTCGCTGGAATAGTATGCATCGCATTCAGATACGATGAATAAAAGAAGCGGACCCAGATCATATTTCGACAGTGTTTTGATGGCTCCCTTTGGTGCCTCTTTTTTTATTACGCATAATTGATTATTCAACGAGAAGGGAGCCTCAGCGCTCAGTGTTTCTTCTCTTTCTCCATCCCTTTTTAAACATGTTTTTCGTTGGCCTATTGGCATCATGCCTCGTTCCTCCTCTCTTGCCTCGAACAGGTGATTCACGTTCAGGTTTGTGTTTTCTGATGTCATGAGAACGCTGCCGTGACTGTGGTTCCACGAAGCAGGGAAAAGGAATTATGGGGTGCTTCGGGAGCAAGGCTAAATTGTCGAAGGAGGACGTCGAATTCCTGAAAGCACACACTCGATATGACGAAGCCACCATCAAGGAATGGTACAAAGGCTTTCAGGTAAAGCTCCATTTTCTCCTCTTTCTTTCTGCCATTCGGCTTGAGGGTCTCGAAAAAAAAAAATCAGGAATAAATGCAAATATCTTCGTTATCGGAATTATCAACGAGGGTTCGAAATGTTTTTTGGTCGATGGATGCTTGCCATTTTCCATATGGAAATTCCGACGATTTAACGAAAAGAATTTTATGTCCATCAATTTGGTGCCTCACTCGGTAATGAAAGGATTCGGTCCGTTCTTTTTTGACGCCAGCAAGATTGTCCAAACGGGAAGCTGACTCCTGCCAAGTTCGTCGACATGTACAAAATGTTCTTCCCGAGTGGGAATGCCGAAGAATTCTGCGACCACGTGTTCAGGACATTCGACACGGACAAAAACGGTTACATCGACTTCAAGGTAAGGACACCTGCCTCTGCTGCTGGAAGCAGCATCGCTTGAATCATATGCGTGCAACTGGGGTATGCAGGAATTCCTGTTGGCTATCGACGTGACATCGGCCGGGTCTCCGAGGGAGAAACTGAAATGGGCTTTCCGTATGTACGACGTGGACGGGAACGGAGTCATCGACCTCGGAGAAATGATCAAAATCGTCCAGGTACTTCCCAGTCTCGTGCTTTCTCCCCGTCCCTACGAGCGAAACCCGGAGCCCGTTTTTCGTAAAAGATGCCTGTAATGAGTGGTTATTTTCCCAGGCCATCTACGACATGCTTGGAAATAATGCCGCCAACAAGCCTGTGGACAGCGCAGACCAGAGGGCAAAGATCATCTTCAACAAAATGGATGAGAACAATGACGGCCACCTGACGGAGGAAGAATTTCTCAACGGATGCATGCAAGACGAAGAGCTTTCCAAGATTCTTGCCCCTGGGCCATAATCCTTTATTTGATTTTTTATCAGTCATATTTGTCTTCTGTCTATCCTTACTTCTCTCTCTCTCTCTCTCTCTCTTTCTTTCTTCCTTACACTCGCACTCTTTCACTCTCTCATACTCTCTTTCACTCCACTTTAGACGGCATTCCGAGCCTTTAGGGAAGGCTAACAACGCACTGGACTGAGTGATAGAGATATTGACAATCCCTTGACACTTCATCTACGAGACGTGTGAGAGTGGGAGAAAGTGCGTGCGTATTGTGATGTGCCGGACCTTGGGAATGCCGTCTGTAGACTGAATGCATTTTCTCAGGGGTTCCTCGCCCCTCGTGAAGTTGTGATCCCTGCTCCACCGTACTGCCCTGTCTGTGGCTGCGTTTTCGGATGGCTCTCTTTTTCTTGCCCTTATTTTTTTATCATTAGCGACCCATTACATTCACCTGCATGCAATCAGACTTTAACGGAATGAAATCACCTTCCTATTTATTGGAGGACTGAAGTCTAGATGAAAGATCTTTTGCAGATTGCGACCCCCAACTGACTTCATTCGGCAAACGAAAATTGCGACGAGGAATTCATGAAACTCGCCTAGGCGACAAAGCGGTGGAATTCATGCCCCTACTATTATTGTGATGCTTTCTTCTTACTGGAGGAAAAAACTTCGAATAAGGTTCTAAAATATGTCATGTATATCACGAAGACGCATTAGCGAAAGTCCCTTACCTCGGTTCGCTTAATAGGGGGAAGTACCCCAGTAGAGCCGAGGACTTTTTTAGGATCTGACCCCTCCTTTGGTACGCCTATAGTTTGTCAAAGAGAAAAGGTCGATGTGGATGTTCCCAGTGTTGTATTCAAATACACCATTCCAAGAAAAAACAGCGTTTTCCCTGAGCTTGAGTGGATATTTCCCTCTCTTCCGTCGTTCATTGCTCGAAATTCCCCGCACCGATGACGACGAATTTCCTAGGGTTGGACGGTCTCTTTCTTCCCTTGATTTAGAGTATAATACATTACTCATTTAGGAGTTTCGATAGGGCGATCGAGGAAAGATGAAAGGGATCTTCAGTCCACTGCCGCGACTATTGCTCTTTTTTTAAAATTGGAATAGTGCATTTGTTGCCGATTTTCCACCCGTTCGTGTGACAGATAACAAGATCATGGAATACGTGTTGAAAGGATAGTGCTTCAGAAAATGGTGGAATAGCCGAGGTGATGACGGGTGGCAAGGTTAGCTTCGCATCCAAGTAGCCATTTTGCCCTTCGGAGATTTCGGTATCGGAGACTGCGATGAGGAGGTTCCCGATTATTCTATCAAAATGCAATTTACCGTTTTTTCTTCCTATAGTTTCGATACTTAGCGATCCCAGGACTAAAAATGTATTGAAAGCTTTTCCTATCATACTCACGTTCATACGTAACTGCACTGTGGAGAAGTTCGAGTGGCCTCGACCGAGCAATCGATGAGCATGCACACCGTCACATGACACCATCCCTAAGGAAACGTCGCACCCATAGCACGTGACGGAGGGAGAAAATAGAATGAACCGAGATCTGCCACGCACACCCTTCAAGAGCTTCTCAGAAGACTCAGACTCCCAACTTCCTTGGCTAGGGGCAAGGGTAGCGGTACCCTGGCTAAGCCGACCAGATTTCTATGTCGCAAAAGTGGGACGCCCAATAAATACTTCCCGTGCCTCCTAGAATAAACATGCTGTATTTGTTGCGCTGACAGTTATATTTATTGAATTCAATATTATTGAAGTGTATTTGAACTGCTTAGTTCATCGGGGGCACAGGGACGGGTGGTCTGAAAGTGGGACGTCCCGCCTAAATCGGAACGTCTGGTCACCTTAACCGTGGCTCCAAGTGAATTTTAGCTCCGCTCAAGTTTTAGCATCACTGACACTTGCTCTGCTCGATTCATACTAATTTTTATTCCACTTCGCCGAAAAATCTGTCTATAAAGGGCTTCAAAATACATAGAGCTGACACCTGACAGGCAAAGGGAGCGACAATGCAGACGCCACTGCGCAGTGGCGTCCACAGGATTTTAGGAAGGCTCGATATGGATGGAGGCAGTTGAACGAGCGAAAGGGGGAGGGGTCAGGGACTCGCTAGCGCGCGCCTCTGCCCCTCTGCTTCCGCGAGATCCCAGACTGAGGAAAGATGGGGATGAGAATATTTCCTATTTTGGAATCCTATGGAATCGCTCTCGACTAAAGTTAATAGGGTACATTTCTCAAGGCACCCTTCCCCCAGGATAATTCTATTCTTTGGAAGCAAAATAATGAAAAGCGAACGAGATTCATTCTGTTAATGAAAAAATCCTGTAATGCCCTTGAAGAATTGAAAGGACAACAATAATCCTCATATTTCAAGCGAAGAACACGCTGGATGGGATTTTTTGAGGAGAGAATCGCATCCTGTCGAGTGAATCGGCCTCTTTGGTATGTCCATGCCACCAATCGTCGGCGAAGGATGTAATACCGCAGAAGCCGATGGCGTCGTAATGCAATTTCTTTCAGTGGCGCAGCCTCGCGCTTCTCAAAATGATTTTCTGCAGCATTCGGGTCTGTCGAGAAGTCTCCGATCTCGAGTCCATTGCTCTTTCGCCTCAAATATTATTCGAGCGAGATGAGGGCCAGTATTTTGAAGTGCGCCACGAATGACCAAGAGGCACAGGAGAGATATTCCATCAATCGAAGGAGGATCCTCATCTTCCCCAATCGCCACTTGTTCTTATTGAACTTCAAAACCCCCCACGCATTATTCTAAATAAATTTCTCCAAATAAGAGCCGGGAACGAAGGGACGTCTGGAATAGTTGGGCCAAAATCGGCCAGAGAGTCGACAGGGATATGGGCGGGCCAGACATTTCGGGCTAACCCGCAGCCTGTGCAACGTAATTAATGCCTTTATAAGGACAAAATATATTGCACAACGGCAGTGCGCAAGAAGGCGTCAGCTGAAGGCAGATGGTCCCAAAGTGGCGAATGACCCTGCACAGGCTGCACGGGCAAGTAAAAATGAGCCTCGCTGATGGGAAAGTGTTTGAGCAGGAGAAGAAGCAGGGTCTGTAACGCGCCGAGGAGAGCCTTAGCATGAAATTTCACGAAATTTGTGTAAAAAAAAAATATATATATATATATATATATATATATATATATATTAAACTCATGCATTATTAGTACCACTCTCGTGATTCTCATTGATACTGCGGAAATGCAAATCTGTAGAGACTGAATAGGACTGGTGAAATAGGACAGCGTGGGTTCTTCTATGCTGAGTGGTGATTTCAAATCAATTTAGATGTCATGTCAACATTTTAATGATATTCTAAGCTGAACATTAAAAGATTGATTAAAAGATCGAAAGACTTTTCATTTTCGAATAAACTTTCAGAACTTGTCACATGCGACACTTTCCTGTCGCACATGACACGGTCACAAAATAGCCTTGCTTTCTTTTTTATACCGAACTGTATTCATACTTACATTAGTTTCAGGCTTTCGTTCCATATATAGGACGAACAAGATGCTAAATTGCATCGCAGAAATGTGGACGCTAGAGCAACCTCAGGTTTCATAAAATGCCACGTCCGGCACTTTTCTTCGCACGGAGGTAAACCTCTTGCAAAAGGGAGCATGCAAGACTTTGGCTAATGTAATTTTCAGTCACTGCCTAAGGCTAAATGTTGCAGCCTCGATTCGTCATTTGTAATATCGTTAAATACATTTTGTGCGTGAAATGCATTACAACGCGTGTCACATCCGACATAACGGACAGGCCAAGGCACTTAGCTCTTGGACGCTTTCAATGCAGCATCGCAAAGCTGCATGTGGGGATTCTTTTATGCCTCTTGGATTCTTGAGGATTCGGAATTCGTGGACGTTGTCAGAAATCGGATTTCAAATCGTTGTTGCCCTTGTAGAGATGTACACGATGAACGCTAAGGGTAGTTCTTAAAGGGATGCGCGATTTTCCCCCGAAGAATCGAGTTTCTGCGCTATTGCAGTTGAGGCCCGGAGAATGAAGATGGAGAGTTCTGAGCATGTATGCAGTTTCCAAGAATGTTAAGAGTTCCAAATTTGGGAAAATAATTGAACTATGGACTGGGTTGCAGCAGGGTGATGCCCTAGGAGATTCTGTATCATTCGTAGGAATATTTAAAAATAAATACCAATATGCTAGAGCAAACAGCGGCAAAAATCGTATCGAAATTGAAAATATTGGTTAGCGGATGACTCAATGTAAAATTTTTTGCAATCATGACTTTCACGTTCTCCACTTTCCATGTTCAGTTGTTCTGAGCTGAAATTATTTCAGTTCATATTTGAAAGTTTCTTCTCCAGGTTTGGTTCGAAAGTCAACATTTCCACAAAAAACTGCTTTTCTTTTAAAAGCAAGTGGCATTTTGTTAAAACTGAAGTTCATTTTTTTTATTGAGTTCAATAGATTGACATTTTTTGCAATGATTGGTGATTATTCATTTCGCATTTGGGATGAAGTCTTCGCACTGTAAAAATCAAGGCTGTTCCACATTTTTCTCACCCATCAAAGATATGCGATCTTTGTCGCCATGTTTGTCGCCAAATTCTGTAAAATTCGGTTATTTTGAAAATCATTGGCTCACGAGCACAAGGCTAAATCTTAATAAGGGATGACGGTTCCCGACCTCTGGCCTGAAGTCTTCAGTTCGAGTAAGCGTATCAAATAAGTTCAGGTAAGTTCGGACCCGACGAACTCGAGCAAAAAAAGTCTGGAAAAGTGAATTCAAAGCTGATTTTCAGGCACGCGAGCGACCGCAGTGCAAAATCACGATGGCTGTCGCTTCGATGCATGTCCCCAGACATTCCGATATAGCGTTTCGTGGACGTAAGGCCGCAAGCTTTGGGAAAGACTAACGACCCTTTCAGGGGTGGGACTGGAATCAACAGAGTAATATCAATACTTCGAAGCAGAAACTGCGCAATAGGCGTAACTTATCCGCATTGCATCCTCAAATCAGGAATGTGTCTATCTCATATTACAAAAGTTTCTTTTCGATGCTTCTACACCTAGTTCTCTCAAAAATAGGAATTATCACGCCGAGATTTGAAGCATTAGAAAATCCGCATGCTTATCCGGTGCAAATTAACAAAAATCGAAAGCACTAATGAGGTGATCCCAGTTAGTTCGGCTCGATCAGAATGAGCAATCAAGCCCGGGTGAGTGAATTACAAGTAGATGTTGAGCCATATATGACAATTCGTTGCCACAGAAGCTCACATTCCAGTGAATGTCCTTAAAAGTCGTGTAAGGCATGCGTCGCAGTTTCCGCACCCAATAGCATGAGCATCGGAATCGATTAATCAATTCCTTTTTTTAATGAGAATGGTATTTGCAGTATACGCCAAGTTCGTGCTAAGAATTTAAGCATTTCATTCCCTGTCCTATACTTTTATCCCAACTCAGCGTGGAATTTCCACGTGAGGATTTTTTTGCAAGGGGGGTCGGATATTCTTGCACAGGTTCGGACATTTTTGCGTTGCTCTGTGCTCGTCTTTGTAGATTCTTGGCAGCTGAAGAAGCTCTGTGATCGTCAAGGAACTGTGGCGATAGAACCAATTTATTTTCATAGTTCTAAACCAGAGCAAATGTTCATTCCAGTGCCATAGGACACTCCTGCATGTGGAACATGTCCAGCTTAGTACTGAACCCATAGAGTATAACTGGAGGCGACACTCCGCTCGTATCCCATTCATTGACAGGGTCGCAATATAGATGTGTCGATCCTCCACCTAGCGTGCACACATCAGCAACTCCTCCATGGCCAAGCAGCGGACTCAACGAGACAGGCGTGTTACGTTGAGGGATCACTTTGGGTCGAATCCCCTGGACGAGTCGAGTCCCGATTCCGCTGCTACGAAGCACACCTCATGGAAGTGTTGTTGATAAGCCACCAGATGTCTATAATATTTCGACCACCTTCCCTCGGAGTGCCGCCTCTAGTTTTACTCACTACTCTGACTGAAACCTCTGCTAGATGGAATTCATGTTTCCCCGATACCGCCAAACACAAGTCAAAACATCCTTGTAATATTTAAAAATTTGTAATAATGATGTTTTGATGGAGATCTATGTTTTTGGAAGATTTCAAACGTTGAGGTTTTGTATGGGAACAAAAGCAAAGTATGCTTACTCGTCCTAAGTACTTTTCAAGCAGCACGTAGGTCGTTGACTATCAGCTACGTCGTGGGAAGGGAACTGGTGGTCCACCACCACTACTAGGTTGCAGACCATCTACTGCACGTCCCACTTGCCGTCATCTTCCGGGCTTCTAGCGGGCCAACACCATTTTCCTCTTGAAAATTGCATTACGGTCGTTGGGGTAACAGAGAAACCGCTTGATTGGTTTCAATGGGAGGCCACTTATCATAGTTAGATGCCCATACCCTAAAATAAAATAATAATAAAATACTTTTCCAACAATAGCGGTTTAAATAAATATGAGATGATTTTCACGTGGTTCCTATTTGTGGACGCCCTGGTTCCAGTTTGTGGACATTCACGGACCTAGTTTGTGGACACCAGTTTTTGTCAACAATTATGAACGTGCGTAGGCCGAAGGAATTCAGGGGTACTAGGTCTAAAACTAAGCAAAACTGTCCAAGTTCACTCTTGCTGATGTGTATGAATAATTTATATGGTGGCTGATAGGCATGTACAAAATATGGAGCATTTGAGGAAATAAATTTTCGGCGTGAATTTTTTGAAATGACAAAAAACGCAAAACTGTCCACAAACTAGTGCCTCTACCCTATATTCGATTCAACTTCAGAGTCAACGTGGAACATCCAAAGAAGGCTCACCTGGAATGCTGTGTAACTGCTCGCTTGACATCTCTTTCCCGACATGACACGTGGCGCTCTATGAGGAAGAAGGTGTAGTGATAGTCGGGTTAAGACTCCTCTACTCCACACTTCTGCATTTCTACGCTAAATCTCAACATTAATATTTTATTGAATCATATATTGCGATCAGAACATCATAATTCCATGTTTTATCACTACCTGTTCGCAAGTTGCACAGTGAAAAGATGAAAGGGGAAGGAAACACTTTTCCTAAATCAAGAAGGCAGTTCTTTATTGCATTTGAAGGCTGAAGGGAGTATGAGTACCATCTGGTGGGAGCTCTTAGTACTGCATTAGGATCACCCCCATTTGACTCGCTCTGGGGGAAGTGCCCCGCTACAAATGAGAAAAGAGCTGGAGGTCCATCGTCAGCACTTGGTAGCGGGTCATCTACTGCATTGGTGTCCAATATGATTTCGATGCTCTCCAAACCTGTGGCAGTCAGGTCACCATATTCACCACACGATGCAAAATATATGCAATATTAATAAAAAAGAATGCGCAATCTTTTGAAAGTAGGTTTGATGAAGAGCATCAATTCGCCATATGTTTGTGGCCGATTCGCCACATGAGGCGAGTGGCGAACGTATTAGACACCATGGATCTATTGCATGTTCCACTTGCTGCCGCCACAGGCCCGCCACTTCCGGACCGGTGGCGGCAAGTGGAACAACCAGCACTTTCATCACGTACTGTATCCTTGAGGTGGCCCGCTGGCTGATCAGGTATTCCAGCCGCCACATTACCGCCTCCTCAGGAATCCGCCAGTATAGCGCCCACTACCTTTTTGCTATTTTGGGTTCATTCTGACAAGCCAATTCCCCCCATCCAAGAGTGTCAATAGTATCTTCCCAAAATAAACATTCAACTTTGTTCACTTATGTGTTGATGCCTGCGACGCGAAAGAGATGGCATCAGATTAAACGCGTAACGTTAGTTCCTAGCCTGATGAAAGTAGTGAGCCCTTGCCTAATGTGGTTGGAGGTCGACCTCTAGTACACCACTTGGGTCCGTGCCTGAGCTTCCTTTAGGATATTAACTGGTACTTCAAGATAGTCGCTGGTTCATAGTAATTCATGGAATTAGTTAGAACTGAAAACCATTCAGTTTCCCTCTGGTTTATGAATGGAACTTTACTGGTCAAAGCTTGAAACCAGGCTGGCTCCTTTCTTATCCCGATTCAATTTCCTTTGGGTTCGAACCTGGAAGCATCCTGGATGTTCAGCCTGGATCCAGTATGAGAATCCAGCAGGAATTTTTGACTTGGTGCTCTAAGTTGTTGGGAAATCTGGGATGTTTGAAACAGTTTAGATCGCATAGGCCTAAGCTGCCCCTCCCCCCTCTTTTTAATTTCCTCTCTATTACTTTAGATGGAAGAGTCAGCGAAGAAGTATTTGAAAATCACATCATACCCATCATCGACAAGTGCTTGGATAAGACCATCAGCCATTGATGGGCAGTGGTCTCTCACAGTTGCCTCAGAAGTACGCAACCCAATTGAAGAGAGGAAAATCACCCAGTCCACTACCTTCATATTGAGAAAGACAGAATCTATTCGTCTTGAGGGACGATTGCAGGGATCTGTTCGAGTCACCAATGAGTGAGTCTCATGTTGTCCTCAGTACCTACTGCAGTAGGCCTATGCCTATTTGTTGACGATTGTTGAGCTCAGGATTGCACAAACAAAGTGCAGGCTTCAATTGAGCTCTGGCTTCAGGTCAGCCTTTAGGAAATGAGAAATGAAACTTACATATGAAAGTTTCATTTCATGAGAGCTCATATGAGCTCTCATATATGACTCACCTGAATGGGGTACAACATATATGTGGAGTAGTTATTGTTGGAAGAAACCTTGCCTATGACTGACTATGATCCCAAACTGGCACAATGCGGTTCTTGGTTTTAAAAAAGCAGTTGCATGGCAGGCAGTTTTCTTTCTATGAAGAGCTTGAGGGACCTGCAGGTGAGGTCCTGCCTGAGATGTCATAAATGATTTTAAAGACATTTCAGATGATGAAACAGTATATATGGAGAATAGTGAAAAATCATCTTCTGATAGGTTGGCAATACTTAATTTTTGTGAGGTTAAAAAATAAATTTTCAAAGATTTTTCAAACTTTATGTGCAACATTTGTATAATGAGTGCTTTTTCCTCCCAACTTATTTGCTAGTTGGATAGGAATAGCAGTGTGATTCTGATCTGGACTACTGATTTAGGCACCCTTGTCTCTACATATTTGCTTTGAATATGAGTCATGCTTTCATTTTTCTAGAGCACTGCATTCATGGTCATCCAGTGGCAGACGATTGGCTGTGGTTCGAGAAAATCTTGACAGCAGCGAAGAGAAGAAGTACATTGAAATTTGGGAAGATGAATGTCTGCTTCATGTGTATGATCTGAAATCAATTGATAAGCATGGACCCATCTGTTTAGACAGTAAGTTTTAGTAGATTAAATCTTAATACAGGAGTTGCTGGTTTTGGCTAAAGTTATGAGTCTTGGTAGGAGGCTTATGATCCCAAAAAAAATTTGAACATTTTTCAATTGTTAGCTACTTGTAATCAGTTCAGAGTAGCACTGTGATTTTGAGGGCTGACTAATGCATTAAATAAGCACATACACACAAAGGTATTGCAATATCTGTTCACAGGTTGTGGAAGCACATGAAGTAATTCAAAGCATGACAGCAGTAAGGGAGTGCAGCCAGAACAGCATGTGCCCCTGTATAAAAATCCAGTGTTGTGCCAGTGTTGATATGACACGTACAACCAAGATGAGTGAGTTATTCTTATCAATTTCACACTTGGTAAAGGTGCTCAGAGTGCCCACCATCATTCTGTGTACAGGCACATGACTTTGGTCGACACTCAGACACTGCATGGTTCACACTTTTCTGCAACAGGAACAGTGGGTTCCCTCTCTGACTGTCTATGCTTACTTTGAGAGTGACCAGATGCACTGGTTCACCACAACCTCACTTGAAGTAAGCTGCTGTATTCCCAAATTGAGTTGATGTATTTTGATATAATTTAACATGCATATGCTCATTTGATGTAGTAGTCAGCCTGCAAAAGCACACAATATAGTCTGAATCTTTTACGAGTAGTTACAACAACAACAAAAAGTTCCAAATTTTTTGGGACTGAGATGATGTGCACTGATTCCAGAAATTTTCTTTTGGCCTGGTGCATTAATAGTCCAATATACCAGAGGGGCTGGTTACAATGCAGGTATTAATATTAATCTGTGAAAAAAAGCCACAAAATAAAGACCTTCAGCCTTGCAGTCCTTCATTCGCATGACTTATAATCGCTTCCAGATGTTTCAAGCACAGAACATATTGAATTCCTTTTTCATGATGCACACTTATGCACACTTGAGTGAATTTTCAATCTATAAGGTGTCATCAAATCATGACAAAGGGTATATAAAGCCTATAGGTATCACAGTATGAGCAGGCAACATTATTTTTGTTCCCAATACTGTTTATATACAGCATCAGTTGATGTTCTGAAGCCTGCAGATTTAGCGAGACTGTTATACATATATTGCATGCATCTGGTCCAGTGATGCAATGTCATCTCGGCAAGAATGCCTCAAAACTGTTTCAGACTCTTTTCAAGCAACAATGTCCTAAAAACTAGGGTCTTATTGAAGTTGGGGATTCTGTATGTGAATATTGATCCAGCTTGTGGAATAGGATTATTTCCATTTCTTTTTCAGTTATTCTTGCATTAAAATACCTAGGTGACTTGTTTTCATCAGCTTCAATAGTTGTTTTCTGAAGCTGATTCTTATTGCTGACAGAAACTTTTGGTTCTCTCGTCTGGTCACACAATGAAAGAAAACTTGCCTATGTTGCGGAGGAGAAGTTTTGCAAGTCTCCCAGCTTCTTCAATCAGGGGGCATCTGAGTCTGGCTCTCAAGCAAAAAAAGTGAGGCATGGTGACGTGATGTTGGCCTAATGTAGTGCATGTTGAAACCCTTCATGTTATATTCAGCATTTCCATGTATTTATTGGCAGGGAGAAGGGAATGCATGGCGAGAGTCATGGGGAGAGCTACTCACAAAGACCTCTGCCACAGTTGTGTCTGTAATTGATACAGATACTGATGAAGTCCTCATTCTTGACTGGGTATGAGGCTGATTTTGTGTTAAAACTTGAGAAAGACAACTGAGTACCTTCCATGGAGTTAAGTATTGACCTTTGCTTGAACCATGTGCACTTTTGGCATAGTCTTCATTTAGCACTGGTGAAGTAGGGTAAACACCCATTTTTGGCCATGCTGATACAACTCCCATAGGAAGTGGATACCCTGTGCGCACATCAGGAAACACTAGTAATAGGTCTTCGTATGGGAAGATGATAGAATGCTTGAAAATGGCCAGGTTAACTAATTTTTCTGGATTTAAGCCTCACTGGGCAACAACTGGAGACTGACCAGAAACCAGGGTGCTTACCTTATGAGGGATGATTCAAAAGTTTTTGCCCTGAAGTAGTAGAAATGATCAGAGAAGGCTGAAAGTTGGTACCCATATTCCTTTATCCTGTTTGATGATTTCAAATGTCAACAATTGCTTTTTAACTACATTTCCCTTTCTTTATATAAATGGTATGTAAAGAATACTTCAGACAAATATTGTTCTAGTCTAATATGACAAACATTAAATACAGAACAGTGATGCAATTAAAAACCATTCATTAGATATCAGTTTATATATCACATGAAGCAACTCATTCAATGCTGTACAATTTAAAGAGAAATTCCCTTGAAGCACCAACAAAGGTGAAAATGAATTTGATGAAGCTCCCTAAGCAACTATGGAAAATATGGAAAGTGAATTTTCCCCCCATGAGATTGAAACCCTGTCTCATCAATGGCACAAGTGTTGATGTCCAGGGAGGTTATGTTGAAAAATAGCTTTTGTTCCTGAGTCTACACCATTTTCTTATTTCTCAGGGCGTAAACTTTTGCCTATGTTATCAATTACAGTTGTTATTGAGTGACCTGAACATCAGCTTTCAAAGAAACCAGGTACTCCATCATATGTGTTTCTTGAAAGGTTGCATGGAGGTGATGATTCTCAACAAGAAGCATATAGGACCATGAAACAACAGACTTAAGTTGGTTCATTTGGAACCTCAATTCACATCACATTGGCAACACTCATCAGCATGATATATGTCAAAATAAGGTCTCTTGCAAAAAAAATTATTGTAATTGTTTGGCTTTCTTAAAAAAAAGGGTGTTGTGAAAGAAATGACAGGAAATTAATGGCTCTTTCATAAATCAGGTGCAGCTCTCTACTAAGTCAACCAACTATGTTGCATAATTCCTGTAGATATGGAGGCACTTGTATATTTAATTTAAAATCATCTTTAATTAACATGAAAAGTCGTTGGCTGAAATGACTGGTGTATTCAAGCAGAGGATATTGTTCTCATCAGAAATTGTGCATTAGCTTGTTTCTTGTGATTCAAGGCTAATGCCTTCTGATTTAAATCGCCTTGTCTTTGAATGTCATGCAGATTCCAGAAAGTGACTCTCCAAGTCAGATAGCATGGGCACCTGATGATTCTGGCATTATTGGTGTAGCCTACAAGAAACATCCTTTTAGGCTTGGAGTAGTGTATTGCACCAACCGAGCATCTCAGATTTTCTTTGCATCACTTTCTGACAAAGGTGAGTCTTGATGGTACCATATACTCATGTGCATTTGATTGAGAGCCCCCTGATTCATTCTAGGATACCGATACCTGAGCCATGAAAATCGCAGTGTTCGAGAACCAAGGTTCTCTCCATCTGGAGATAAACTGATCTTTCTGGAATGTGAAGTGGGTGGACCTCATGCTCAGACAAGTACCCTTGCATCAGTTGAGTGGTCCTCTGGCAAGGTAATTTATCTTTCTGGTCCTATCTTAATTCATTTATAAAATCAGGAACTGCTGCAAGAACTTATCCTTTGAATTTCAGTGGTCCTGTCTTGTACCTCTTGTATATGAATCATCAGGAGACTTTTCTGGTGTTAATGGGAATGCCACCCTTCTTCCATTGGAATGTTTTTCTTCTGATGGTCATTACCTGGTGTTCAACTCTGTTCATCAGTGTGCCTGGAAAATTTTCCTTCTGGATATGGGTGAGTTATTGCTTTCACACTGACACGATATTGTTCAGGATTACAACAAATCCTTAAAAGGTGGAAGTCCTCCTCATCCTCTGCCTCCTCATGCCCTCTCTATCCTCATCCCTAGCTCTTTGCATGCATCTTTGACTTGTCATGATTGAGCTTGTGTTATTATTATTATTTTTCAGTAACTCTGAAGCTGTCATGCATCAGTCCAGAGCTTGATGATAGCTATTATTGCATGGGATTCAATTATGACATCCTTGTTGCAAAAGTGTCAAACCTTCTCAATCCAAATGGAATCAGTGTAGGCTCTTCTGTTTTCATAGTTTTTGGAAGATGAATTATGAGTAAATCTCAATATGTATTTTTTCACTTCAATTCTTTTCTAGGCTGCCCTCTGGCAGGGACACCTAGATCTCAAGTGGGAGGTGCTCTCAGAGATGAGAAGATGTGAACCTGTGCCTACTGGAAGTTCTGTAAGGATGCTTCTCTCACTTCCTGCTTCCAGTATATTTGGTGAGCCTCTGGAGAACTGCCTCCTATTCACATGGCTTGTCAGAATTTGATTCAACCATAGACCAATGAAGGTGTTTCTATGTTGCATTCATCACAAACAGGCAAAGGAGAAGAGAAAAATTTTCATGCCATCCTTACTTGTCTTCCAAAGTCAGGAAGTATGAAGTACCCTTTGGTTCTCTTCCCCCATGGAGGTCCTCACAGTGTTTTTACCAATGAGTTCAGCTCTCATGTTGCAATGTTCACTGCTTGTGGTAGGTCTTTCATTACTTGTGTCTAAAGAATGCCCCAATCCCTGATCTTTTGTGCTAGTCAATATTAATTGAATGTCATTTTCAGGTTATGCTGTTTTACTGGTGAATTATCGAGGATCATTGGGAACTGGTGAGGCAGGTGTACGTTCACTCCCTGGAAGAGTTGGAGTGCAAGATGTGAAGGACTGTTATGATGCACTCCTCCATGTTCTTAAATCTGAAGACTTTCCTGTTGATAAGGAAAAACTATTTCTGTATGGAGGTTCCCATGGTGGCTTTCTTGTGGCTCACCTAGCTGGACAATATCCTGTAAGTGTTACTTATTACTGATTTTGACTCATTCTGGGGTCTTGTAGCTGCATTTGGTCACATTTAAGCGATGAAGTGATTGTATCATGGAAGAAACCTTATTGAAGTACAAGCTTGCACAATGGATGGTACAGGTCAGTTTATTCAGGGAAAATCAGAACTTTCTGGCAAAGGATATCACTGAGCTGCTTTTTGTGTTCAAAATTCAATGTCAGGATCAATCCATGTGAAATTACCCTGTGGGGATAGTGTGGTACCATCTTAGAATTAGATGAATTTGGAATTTCATTCATTGTGTTCAAGGTTCTTGTGACAAAAAAAGACTTGATCATTGGCCCACCAAGTCTCTTGAAGTTTGGGTCAAAGAAAGTCATGCTTTCATCTTCCACCCTCCAAAGATTAGAGAAGATTAATGAAGGTCTCCTTTTCATTTGCTAGGTCAGCATTCCTCTTCCCCATAGCTCATCAGCCAGGCTCAGTTGACAGTTGTCAGGAGTATGGAGTACTGATGGAGCAATCCAAGACTCTGTTCAAGTCTTGGAGGGGGGGGGGAGGGACTCAAAATTGACATTTTACCCTCCCATCTTTCAAAGTTGGGATTTGACTGCCCCCCACATCAATTAAAAGAGGAAACTGAGAGGATTTCAAATTATGCAATCAGAACAAAGAAGAGAAATTATTTGAATAAATTTGTACATTCTTGTGACTTTTGACCATATATGTAATTAGTAATTAGCAATCAAGCAGATTTTACTTGAATTGGGATTCTGATCAATTTTCTATTTTTTTTAGAGCATTATTTTTCAGTTAGCTTGAATTATTGCATTCCATAAGAGTAAATCTTGCATTTCAGATTGACTATGAACATCCAATCAAAGAACAGGTGCATCTGGAACTGAAACTTTTGCTATGTTCTTCTCCAATAACCTGCACTTGCAGGTAAAATGTCCCTACGTTCAGCATGAATGATGTGATACCATTCTTGCAGTACAGTTGGAATGATTAAAAGAGATGAAAGAAATTTTTAAAATGATCCACATCTTCTTTCATTTGAATCAGGCTTTCTTATATATTTTGAGGGGCAAACCAACTGATTATGTGTCATTTCATCCTTTTCTGTTTTGCAAAATCTTGAATTTCAGCCAGATTCCTCACTGCTGCCATATACTGGTGAACAATCTCCATGCAGTTGAGCTCTCTGAACATCAACCCTCTAACTACCATTATAATAATTAGGCAAAGCATTTTGAAGAGATTCTTTGGGAATGAAGAGATGAAACAAAGAGTTAAAATATATGACCATCTGGGTTCTGGTATGTAAAGGGCATTCAAGCATTCAAATGCTGGATTCAATTTCGTTGGGAAAAATATTTCTAGTGCACATTTATTGGTGGCATACTTGTTCTCATTAGCACAAAGCATTGTTCGTATTTTCCAAGACAATGAAGTATCTGCATCCATCTCCTCTCATCTATAAATTTCCCCCATCAAGGCATTACAATGCTTCCATGGAATAGTGGAGTTTCCTTGCATGAAAATTGATATTGACAGGAAATTGAGGTCAGTATGAATTTGTCACTTCTTGTTCCATGTTAACAATACCTAGATGACTGGAAAAGGACTGGCCTTTTGTCCTACTCCAAGATTGAATTTAGTAGTGGAAAGGGATAGGTCAGTTGATTGACCACCTTTTAACCCTATGCATCATGGAATTATTATTTGCGATTTAAAAAAAATAGCGGTTTTAGGTTTCACATGTCCTAGATGTCACTAAGGAACGCCTGAAAATGTTTTTTCAGATTTTTGCATGCCGGGTACTGGTTGAACCAAGCGTGTGTTTCTAAACACCTCTGTGACTGTAAGGGAAAGAACAGGAAGAAAACACTCCATGCATGTTCAGAAGTAAACCTGTGTATTTTTGCTTCAGAAACTCAGAAAACAGTAAGTCTACTTCAAATGGAACTGCCAATAGCAGTTCCAATTGCTGTTGAAGCACAGATGGAGTTAATATTTTATGCATTAAAATTATAATAGGTTTTGTAATTTTTGGAATAGAACAATGGTTCAAAAGAAAGAGAACTCAATGGGGTTTTATGATTTTATTGCTTTGTTTGCAGTAACCCTCTATGGCCAAATAATTTATTACTCGAAACTGTGCGCAAATAGCTGCTTGGCAGTTGCATCCAAAACATTCTCCTTCTGCCACCACCTCTGGATGACACATGGGTTAAGTGACCAATATTGACTGCTGTTTCTTTAATTATTCTGTGAATTAAGAAACTTTTTATAGAGCTCATAACTATGGTCATTTATCCTCCAGCACTAAAACCAAACAGCCAGTTCCATTTTAATGCTATATTCATGGAGCCCGTCAAACATCTGGACTGGCACCCACTGGGTATGAAAAAATTATAGCATTTGCTCAAACTACCAGGACCTCTCACCTGAGTGATGTAGAGTGTGTTTCATGCATAGCCTGCTGTTTAAAGACTTCCAGCCTTGATGACTTTGAAAGTTGAGGTTCAAGATCTAAGTTACAGCTTTAGAAATTCTGTTTAATGCAAGGTCTTTCATGATCTTGGCCTATAGTCTGCATCAGAGTATCAAATCATTTTCAGAGTTTGTGATCAAGGGACAAATATTTAGATTATGCCTAGGCCTTTGCTTAATAAAATTGATCTAGTTATGAAGTACTTCCTTGAGCAAGGCAGAGACTATTTTTTCTGACAGAACAGGAATACTTATACCAGGAACCAAGAAACTCCAGTTCTGGAAACTGTGTTGCATTCCTCATTATTCAGAGTACTTATGGAGCTACCTAGTCACAGAATTTATCAATGAAACATTACTGATTACTGTTTAATGTTCCACCTCATGCAATCTATATGGTAAGGTCTATCTTAGCAATGATATGTTGACTGGTCAACCTGGTCATATGTGATCATATACAGTCATAAGGCCTCACCTTGTGTTGGGCTGGTTGACCATTATTGTCCATAAATGGTCAGAAGTGACCATGTTGACCAGTCAACTTCCCATGCCTAGTCTATTGCTTATAAGTCATGACAAAAATGGAGCACAAACTGTGCAGGAAAAAAAAAAGTTGGCCTTATTGACCAGTCAATCGACATTTTTTGATTGGTCAATAACCCATCCCTAGTAGTGGAGCAGTAGCAGACCATTAAATGTAGTGGCTTTGGTACCATAGTGGAAATGCAGTGCTGAGCATGTTCTGTGGGGTTTGGGGAACAACTGAGAAAGGTCCTCCCATTTTCCAAACTGGACTAACACACTTGCATTGAAGAGCAGAGGGGGTTGTATTTGTGAAGGTTGCTCTAAGGCCTTGACTTGATTACCATTGAAAATTGTGAACCAGATGTATTGGTAAATAGTACACATGCCCTTTCCATGTAGTCCCCCATAGATGCACTGTATTTTTCCCATCTGGGAACACACTGCTAGGAGCCAAAATTGATTAGTTCCTTAGGATGTTGGTCAACAAGAAGTTGCTTCTGCCAGCAAAGCACTATCTATCAGTTCAGTTGAAGGTGGCTGGTGACCAACAATTTCCCAAATTCTCTTCAGTACTGGAAAGAGCCAGAAACCCAACAGCATGAAATTTCAACCCCATTTTTGAGTAAGGTGAATGGGGCAGAACCTCTTGCCACAATTGAAGTGCTGAAAGGAAAAGTGGACTATTTGCAAAAAGTTTTTGAAAAAGCATAGTTGGTCTATAATGAAAACTTTTTCCATTCATTGAAAATAATTTTTGGAATTATGTTAACGCTTTGGGATCCAAGTATTTTGGATAAGTCAGCGATGTCATCCCAAGCTTTTTCCATCCCTCATCATGAGAATTTTTCCTGATTTATTCAATGAAATTATAACCCAGTTTACTGTTAATTTTTTTTGTGAAGGATGAGTGGGTATTGAAATTTGCACATGGAATGAAGATCATTTGAAAGTGAGGAAAAAAATTATTTTAGAAAACAACCTTTGGAGAAAGCTCCAAGGATCATGACTTGGAAACAGGAGACATTGCCTGGAGAAGGGAAAGAAGTTGCTAATATTCATATTTGAAAAGTAAAGGTTGTCAGATTTCATTTAGGTAAAGAATGGCATGCAAGATTTTATTAAAAGTTTTGACTTGAGAAAGTTTGTTGGTTGCTTATGTGTAGGTGTGTGATTCCCTCCAAAAATCTCTTGCTGGTGACTGTTCTGAGGAGCATGCACGTTTTAGGGTTTTTGTGAGCAGTCTCAGTTGAGGTTTGGTTCCATGTTTGCAGAATACCTTCCGAGCAGCCTGTGTCCGAAATCCTGTTACAAACATAGCAACAATGACTGATGCAACAGATATCCCAGACTGGTGAGCACCATGGATGCCATTTGATTTGTCTTCAGCTTGTAAAGTGATTTAACACTTGGTATTGGATTCAGGGGATTTGTAGAGGCTGGCATGCTGTATGAGCCTGGGAAGTATGGAGATCCAGAAATGATGAAAGTGATGTTCCAGTGCTCTCCAGTGTCTGTGATTGATCATGTGAAGATTCCTGTGCTTCTCTTGGTTGGGGATGAAGATAGTCGAGTCCCTCCCAGTCAAACTTACAGCTATCACCGGGCTCTCTTGTCACGTGGTGTCAAAACCAAGTCAGATTCCCTATCTCCCATACAGGTATTCCTGGTATTACAGCACATATAAGAGTGACCCTTTTTGTTGGATCTCCAGGTTGTACAACTATCCAGACAACCATGCATTGATGAAGCCCTCTGTGGATGGAGATGTCATCATGCATGTCATTGGATGGTTCCATGATGCCATGCTCTCCTGAAGTGGACATTCAGTCATGCTGAAGCCAGATTGAACAAAAACTGAGATGAATCTCCAGTATCTTTATTGTTTTTTTTCTGTGCATCTTTTGCCATTAGCAACCACTTTTTTTTATTTATAGCAATCTCATCTGACTCACTTAACGTCAGTAGTGAAGTTGAGCAGAAGTTTTTTTTTTCCATCTGAAGAAAGAATGAAGCATTTAAGGGTCTTGGGGAGCATTTAAGTCCTTCAGCTGTGAAATTGTGCAATGATGGAGAGTTGTTGAAAAAAAAAGAACTTGTTCGAGGAAAAGTTTCTCCTTTTTTTGCTTCATTTTGTGTAATGGTAGAGGACTCCTGGTGGAGCCAGTAGGTTCTCTGCGATTCCTGCAGTCATTTGCCAACTATTCTTTTTTTTTCATATTGTTTTAATCCCCTACTTTTCATATGTCCATCCCTGCTTCATGTCCAATAATTATTTTGGAAAGTGAATTTTGGTATAACATATATAAGTTCTTCAAACAGTTTTTGGTATTTTTCATTTAAAATCTGGACATTCACTTCTTGGCCACCCCTTTTTTCTAGGATGGGCAAGAAATTGAGTTCACTTTTGTTTTATTACTTTACTCAATAAATAAATATATAAATTTCAAGTTTAACCTGAATGTAACACCACATCTAACATTTACAATGCATCACCTCACAAGGACAGACACTTGGCCATTCAATTTGTTAAAGCCCGTTTTCAAAATATCCCATGAGGTTTTCACAAACCTCTACTACTTCTCAGCACTAAGGTTTTTCCAAACCTGTATGAAGGAGTTCAAGATATTGGCCTTCACTTTTGTTTTGCCAACAGCCTAAAATTATCTGATTGATTGGGCTCAAGGGCAATTAGGGGGAATTATTTCTTTGATTATAAATTTGATACCATGGAACTTGAACCAAACCAGGACCACTTTAGCAGTTTTGAATCCAGTCATTTTTCAATTCCCTTTGTATCAAAAGGTATTATCAATCCAGAAGTGTACCTATACTGAAGTCCTAAGAAGATTGTCTTCTCTTTATTCAAGAATATCAAAACAAGATGCAGGGCCACCTTCTTGTCATGCAAAAGGATTTGAAAAAAAAATCCCAGTTATCAAATTTGTGATCCAAGACCCTCAAGCAATTTTGGGCAATTTGCAAAGACAAATGTTAAGAAAGTAAGGTGAAGGCCTAGAACCTGAGCTCCTACAAGCAAATTTGGTGAAATTTGTCCCAATAAGTAGTAGAGATGTGCAAAAACCTCATGGGGTGTCACTTTGAAACCAGCTGGAGAGAATTTGACATCAAGGCATCATGTTATTGTGAAGTGATGCATTGTAAATATGAGAAATGGTGTTAAATTATGTTAATGATGTTAAATCTGATTAAATTTGAAGCTTGTATCCTTAGTTATTGAATAATGAATAAATCACATACAAGAAAAATACTGGTGCTTGTCTGTGTCTTCTCATATCCACAAACTGTGAATCACCTTTTTCCCCCACCCATTTTGTCTCTCTTGTTTTATGTCAGGAAGGACCTGATGTCCCAGACACCTTGAAGATGTCTCAAATGGTAACTTTATTAATTTCTCAATAATGGGTTTCTACAAATGGATCAACAATGTAATTCACTCATAGGCATGGGTATGTATGTACCTTCTGACCATGCAGACTGCTTCCTGAGCATATATACACCATAGGAAATGCTAAAATAGATGGAATGAGGCAGCAGATACTCTATCATTCCCTTCCTGCTCAGGAATAATTCATTCTTGAAGACATTGGCAGTAGAACATTATCAACACAATGTCAACTTGCACTGAGCAATAAGAAATTCAACTAATTTTACAAAAGAGAGCTATGATCACTCAGTCTCTGGTTTTCCACTAGTGGGAATGAGCCATGCAAAAGCTCAGGGACCTAAGTCAAAACTTTAGAATGCATATATAAGATCTAACCATACAAGGTCTATACAAAAGAGAGGAGAAATTCCTGGCCACTATTTTGGATAACTACTTGCACCATGCAAAACATATGATCAGATATTCAACAAAAATTCTAAAAATTGCATGCCAGAATGAGATTGCAATCATGACAGTTGTCCATTGTACTCAAGCTTTGTATTGCACATCTTTCACTTCAGATCTAGTCAGAGAAGCACTACTTCAGCAGAAAGTCCTAGGCTCTTTTGCACAAAACATGGCACCATATTGCTCATGAAAACAATTTTCTGCAAAAATGAAATGGACATGGGAAGGTTACATGAGGAGGGGGGAAATCCCACACCACTGACAAGCAAAAAAGAGGACTGAACACACATGAAAGTGAGGAAAAGTATGAGAACCCATTCTGCAAAACAAAGCTTCCAAATACCTAAAATTGCTTTAAAATGATGGTGAGCATAGAATACTTCTGAAAGATGCTTGGTGATGAACTGAGGCTACAGAAAGTGATGGACACAATGTGCTTAGAGGGATTTTCCTGCCTACACTCCTATTGAAGATTCTCATTGCTTACAAATGCATCCAACCAAACACAAACTTCCCTTCATGTGCAATTGACCTGGGTCCTGAGTCTGTGAGAGAAAAAATGAAAACAGCCAATTTAAAAGAAACATGCAACTAGTCAACTATAAGGAGAATCTTACAGTCTGCATTATCTACTCGTGAACAGTTTCATCTCGAGATTCCCGCCTCTCACGGGAAAGCAATCGCTGAAGATTTGGCCGATCGTACTCCTCCATGCTGAGGGAGCGCTGTGTCCTGGGACGCCCTGCAACTTCATCTTCTGAGCCTCCACTGAATGTCCGCTGACGTTGAACTCCAACCATGGTGACAGAGGTCAATAGACCTAGGCCTTTCACAAACAACAAAAGGGACTGGGCCATCTTTTCTGGCTGTTGAGGGAAGACAACAAGGGGCATCAATAATGACAAGTTTTCCACAGCCAGATGATGAAAACTCTTGAAAGTCAACTCACACATTCTGAGAGGACATCTCCCACACCATCCAATTGAAGGAGCTGTGCACGAGCGCTATCCATGCTCTGATGCATAGTATGGACAGAACGAAGATTTGACGCCTTGCTTCCCACCACCACCATTGTCTCCACTTGCAAATTCTTCCGAAGGATTGATGATATGTCAGTCCGGCTACAAGTGCAAACATAAGCTGAGTCAAGCATGATGGAAATAGAGCTGGAAAAAAAATTATATGGGGGAGATTTTAGCAAAAGCTTCAGTGTGCAAAGAGGCAGGGCCAGCAGAAGTAGCCCTCTGGCCAAAGGGGGCCCCAGTCCCAAGAGTTCAATTCTTATGAATCACATAGTAGAGAGAAAAATAATAAATCCTGGCAGACAGTCACCTGTGTAGTATGATTTGCCCTTTGAAACAAATCCAGTAAGAAAGGAAGTGTTGAGCTCTACCATGTTCATTGGTGCTGCAAGCATGTTCATGGAAAGCACCACACTTCCAAAATGAGGATAGACCTGCCCTATTGGTGTACCTATGCTTCTAAAGTGCAATGAAAAAGCTAAGGAGTTGGCAGAAGAAACATCAGTTTCAGTAGAACCACCCCTCATAGCAGAGGGAAGAAATAAATTTAAAAAATAGAAAATTGTTGAGTCAGTCAAGGTTTACAAGACAATTTTAGGTTCCTCTTTTATGCAAAAGGTGTTGAAAGCATAGAAACTACTGAAATGAAAACATCATGCTTAGATTGCAGCACAGAGTGATGTCAACCAGGTGGACCTCATAGAAGAGCACAGCAATCCCATGTCACTCCCATCAGTTAATTGAAGTAATTTGAAACATATCTCAGATTGACATATCCAAGAATTTCCACATGCCCCGGCTGCCATGGGAATAGATATTAGTATGAAGTCATTTGTTATGAGTTTTTTTATTTCCTCTTAAAACCCCAGAGGTATTTATGCACCACCCTGTATGTATGAGGGCCAGTCAATAAGTTCTTTTTTTTTTTAAACATGGACTGGGACAGACATACACAGACAAGGACAAATGCCACAAGTGGCAACATTGAGTAGAGGAAAGGGAATTCTATATCGGACATCCCTGATGGCATTGCCCCACCTTCCCATGCTTCCTGTCATGATGTATCCCGTTTTCATGAGCCCAGGGAAGGTGGTGGCAACTTCGATGCTACTCTGGCCATAGTCCCTCCATCACTGCATATCGGGCCGCCAGGGCCGATGTGGCGGGTGCTATTAAGATGCACTAAGCCCCTACCTCTCACACAATGGAGCACAGAGTGGCCTATGCTTCAGCCCAAGGGAGAGCAGGTAGTACCTGAAAGCAGCCGTGTGAACTGTCAGCCCAGGAGAATACCACCTGCCGCTGGTCGGATTTGAACCTGGACCTCCTGCATGCGCCCGGGCCCCTTATCCAGTGGAGCCATGGTGATGTGGTGCCAGTCAATAAGTTGTATGTGTCCACTAACAGAAGTAAATGCTTATTTCTTCCTGTCTTTTTAATCCTCTTAATACTATAATGACGTACAGCATATGTTATGTTTTATAAAGGTTTTACTAGCTAGTAGTTACTAGTAGCACATAGGAAGACTGTTTTTCTGCCTTTTCCACCTTTTCTGGCAACTTTCCCTTAAAGCCCACAAATTCGTGGCATATGGTAGGTCTAATGGCAGTACATAGGGTTCAGGTTACTTACTCACATTACTTACTCAGCAGTGAAAGGGTTAATATTTAAAGTAAACAGGTAGAATTTCATGAAATTTTATAAAGCTATTCGGGGAGTGAGTTTTCTTAAACCTTTCAGGAGTATGGATGTACTGGTACGTTCATACTCCTCAAAGGGTTAAATAACAGATTTTTCAAAATGAAAATGACCTGGGAATACTGTATGGCAACCTTTCATTTCAGGATGTTAAAAAGCCATCAAATTTTTTTCTTTGGAAAAACCATTCATGCAAAGAAATACCCAATCACCTGAAGCATTGTCCAACAAGATGACTACTCTCACATGATAGTGAACATGTGAAAATTAAGCATGTAACTCAGTTGAGCAAGCATTGAACCTCAAAACAGAAACCAAACAAGATGACGATATTTTAAAAGGAAGTGATATTGAAATAAGCCTTTGAGTGCCAAAAGCTCTGCAGGATCCTTATGCGAGGCATAGTCCTGTGAAAACCTTCAGTGCAGATAGATATTTTCAGAATTCATAATTGAACAATGGAGAGGTAGAAGTGGAAAGGATCTGGCTGAAAGGCCGTCAGGTGACTGTACCCATAGCTTAAGTCCATCTCACAACCACCACAAATGCACACTCCATTTAGCTGGAGAGAGTTCATGCTCATGTTGCTGGAAGGCAACCAGTGCAATATATACTGTGGAGGAGTGCAGTTCTGGCTGCACTCCCTTACTGCTGTCACCCTCTGAATAACCTTCTGTATTTCTTGAACCAAGGAATGGCTATTGCTATAACTTTGCATGCATATGCTCATTTGATGTATTAGTCAGGCTTGTGCATAATGTGCATAATAGTCTGAACCAATTACAAGTAGCTGAAGCTGACAAATGTTTAAATATTTTTTTGGGCAGAGTTTATCATTTCAGTCATTATTAGTCTGAAAACAAGGGACATGAGAATTGATGCAGGCAGTCGCAGATGAAATAACTCACAAGTCTAATTTCATATCTGGTAAACCTAGTTTACCAGATGCCAACACATAAGGCAAAAATACGACCAACAAACAAAATATTAATTTTGCTCAGAGTGTAGACTCATGTTTCAGATTTTCTAATTTTCATGTAATTATATTTTGCCAAAGTAAGGCTATGAGCAACAGAAATCAGAAATTGAAAATGGACAGGGACCCACCCCTACCCCTTCTGAATACCTCATCCTCCTGAAATTCATGTCCTCCTGCCACACTCTCCCATTGAAGATCAAGGGAAACTCCAAATAGACTTGGAGCAAATTCTGCTTTCATCATTACTTGTTTATCTGTCATTAATTGAAATACTGTTTATCAAAACGATTTGCAAGAAAGAAAGAAGAAACACTCTTGGACTGGGCATGCCCAGCTTATTGTTAGAGGCTGTAACCATCTTATGTGACAACTCTCTTTGACACATACTGTAGGTCTCCATCTCAACACTGCTATTAGCATACAAGAATTCTGCAACAAGGACTTTCATTTCACATATCTTGGGCCTAACTCCAAATTATAATGGTAATAGCACAAGGCATCAAGTTCTATTTCAGCATATTCAGAGCACATTCTCATCGGGGCCTTGCAATTTCCAATAAAACATTGGAAAAACATGAAAAGCGGGTGTATCAGAGGATGTATCCTGGGTGTATCCTGGATGTATCCTGGGCGGGTGTATCCTGGATGAAAGAGTCCAATGGGACTCTTTCATCCAGGATACTTATTTCAATCTGAATGCCATTTTATAAGAAATAAATATAAAAAAGGGAGAAATTGATGATAAAAAAGAGCTTCCTTACCATTTGAATCACAACAACAAAAGACCATTCAAAGCTGAAGTAGCTGAGCAGGCTCATTAAGGAAAGAATTTATCTAATACTCTCCTGATCTGCTATTTGCTATTTACTATTTTACTAATTGAGCTATGAATGCATCCTGAGATTATATGAAGATTATATGAAGGATATGAGATTGGGGATGTCTTCTTCACCATGCTAATAGTACTGATTGGTCATAAGAGGCCAAGGTTTACACATTTGATTTTGCTACATCAACATAAAATTCATATTTTTACATGAGTTGAATTTAAAATAAACTGAACTTAAAAGGCATGAAAAACGTGAACAGGATTTTGAAAATCATAGTGCACCGTGTTAAGCCTTAAAAAATTGTCTACAAACATGGAAAAGGTACAAAAGGTACAAAACCAAATGGGAAAAAACTGCATTGGTTTCCCAGAATATCATTTTCCAGAGGTTATCCTGGCATTGTGGAGAGATTTACTCACTTGAGGAATGTGTTGACATATTTGCTCAAGTTCTTAGGGTTGATGGATGACTTGAGCTTCTGCTGGAACTCTCTCATCACTCGCTCCTTGTTATCAGTTACCTCCATTTGCTGGGAGGAAATGGCAAAGTACTCATTGTAGTTTGCATCTCAACACAACATTTTGATTCAAAGATGGAGTTTGCTCACTTCCCTTAAGTCCATGCACAATTAATTAAGACAACATAATTCTGTAAGCCACCCACAGAGATTTTGCATAGTGTACAACCAATGATGCATACATAAATTCATACTTGTACAGACAGGCAGTTTCTTATAGCATAATGACATTCCAAATATGGAATGCTAATTCTTTTTATTGGCAATGGATACAATCTATTCTCCTGCTGAGAAGAGCTTCTGTACATGATGCAGATTCACAGTGAATATAGTGAATGTACTGAATTTTGACAACTTTGCAACCTCAACCTTGTTGCAGCAATGTGGGGACATAGTGAGAGGTCTATGTTGTACCATAGTCATGTGTAGCACCAAGTAGCTTCTGCTACCTATGGCAGCATGGAAAGCTCAAAGAACTTTCTAAAAGGTATGCATCTAATGGCCTAAGAGAGTGAGGAGTCAACACTTGGAAGAGAATTGGTTCCACCAGACACACACTGAAGAGAAGCATAAGAAAGCATGTGATATCCTTGGACCTAGAAGATCCAGAGTTGGGAAACATTTAATTTTAATCAAAATTAGGCACATTGCAGAGGCTTAACCTTTTGTGCTTGGATTACCCCAGAAGCTCAACTTTATTTTCTGGCAATTTAAACTGTTCTACATTTGTAATACTAAGTAATTTTCTGTGTACAGAATGAAAGTTTACTTAAATTATGCTTTATAATCATCTTTCAAAGATTGTTTGTTGAAGGAGGTCTGACATACGAGTGGAACTATGTTTTTTTTTTTTTGTCAGAGGAGGCCCAAGAGATGAATGCAAAAAGGCTTCTCTCAGGTGGGTATGAATGGGGAAATCAAGAGTTCATAAACTGAGAATAAGCTCTTAAATCCTTAATTGACCAAAAAATAATTTTTTCCAAGGCAAAAACATAACCTCTTTAATGAAGAGATGCACCCTAGGTCCCCATGAATGATCCATTGTTTTGCACAATTTGGAAGATCTTCATTGGAATGGATTGTATCATATACTGGGCAAAGAGAAAAAAAAAAACCCCCGTTGGACTTTCACATCAGAAAATAGATCAAAGGTGCAGCTGTGCATGTTCCAACAGGTATGCACCTACATCTTCCATCCTATATAAATATTTTTATGAATATTCCCTAGGTTGGTATAGCCATAAATGCACTTGAAGTTCCAGAATAAATTATTTGGAAATCCCTGCAGGTCAAAGGAGACTCACTCAACTTGATGCATGATTGGTCATCCTTGCAACTAGATGACAGCATTGAACTGCAGTTTCCATTGAAGAATCACTCTTTGAATAAAGTCAATGAAATTGGCAAAAAAAAAGCATTAAAGCAGCAGTCTTAATGTCTGACTTTGATAACATCATAATCAAAACTGATTAAATTGACAAGTTCATGCAAAAGTGATCATGCCTCCTGATGTCCTTTCAGCAAGAGGCAAAGAAGCAAGGATTTCAATATATTTCAGTCAAAATCTTCAAAGTGCTTTTGTGGCTAAACCAAGAAAGGGGAATATTCAGGGAAAATATCTTAGGAAAACAATACATAGATCCATTTATCCAAGAAAACACACAACTAGCAATGATCGATTTCCAGACATAACAATTCAATGTCTGCAAATTTTTTCCTCTGTACCCAGTACATAGTGCCTGGTCAAATCAATAGCATAGGACATTACTCAATATATACAGGGGGTCCCAGAATTCTCTAAGGAATTGTAATTGTAATAATTTTTTAACTATTGATGATTAATTCCTTAAATAAAAACAAAATGTGGTCGAATGTTATTTTACCTCTTTTTTTTAAACATATATTCTATATAGGGCAATTCCAGAGTAATTGGGACAAAAGTGGTAAAAAATTGATTTACAAAACTGTCATCCAACTTACGTTTCTTGCACTATATACTTGGTGAATCTCACTTTTTGACTAATATGTTACATCAGTAATGCTGGAAAACTATCCTAACCAATTCTTTTTTGAGCAACTAAAAATATCATTTGACATGAAGAAAGGTGATTGTCTATGCCTTCTTTTCTGAAAATATGGAAGCTTCTGGTCAAGCAAAATCAGACAAAATTGGAAGGGAAGCAGCAGCAGAACAAAAACCATGGTCTAAACTGTGTTACGTCAGTAACATGACATGAATGGCCTTCCTTTTTTTCATCCATGTGAGAAATTAGAAAATTTTTACTGGAATAGGTACAGGTATCTATACTCTATAAGGCACTGTTGAAGCAGAGTTTCTAGACCAAACCATCAAGATATAACATCATACATGATTTCATTTTGAGTCTGGTGTTACGTCAGTAACTTTGGAACTGCCCTATAGCCACCATTTCACTGATGGACCATTCTCAAGTGCAGGTTGAAATTCTCCATCATTCATTGACACACTTCAGGTGTGATGTGTCAGCATATGTGTGCTTGTTCTTCAAATGAGTAATGCAAAAATTCAAGCACACCAATATGCTATTGCAGTAAAGGGTGTTGCACCATCCTGCAGGAACCATACATCTGGCATATGCAATGCTATGGAGTAATTTCTTTCCAGCAATTTGAAGATGACACCCAGAAGATGTCTGGTTCATGTATGATAATGAAACACTCCATGCTGCAGCTGCATATTACTGTGCTTGAATTCCTGCATTACATATTCAGATTCAGAGACCATTTACTATCCAGACAATCCCCAACCCTGGATCCTATTGATTTTTTCCTCTGGGGTTATGCAGAGGAGTATGTTTTCCAAAAAAGATCCCAGAATTTTCAGGAACTGGGCATAACAATTAAGATCTTCCACACATCAATTTCACTCCATGTTTGAGAAAGGACCATCAAAAATGCAATGATCATATGAAACATGCCATAAAGGCTGGATACCCTGTCCATGTTCAGTAAATTCTGATATATGCCATTAATTTAGCCAACTACTATATCTTCCTTGCGTAAATCAGGGAACCACGAAACTTAATCTGATCCACACATATTTCAAGAAAACTCAAAGTAATATATCATGCTATGAAAGCAACCCAGTCCATTGTATCAAATACATGAAGCTCACAAAATCCTAATAGCCATAAGAAGACAATTTTAACAGTCCATTACCTCAGTCAGTTGCTGCAGGCCATACAAAGGTGGGGGAAGGTCCACATGGAAAACAGAAAAAGAAACAAATCACATCAAACATCAAGATATAGGTCTAGTATGCATGTCAAATCCGAAGTATCATGGATATATAGAGCACCAATGATACATAATGCCAGGCTAAAAACCTTGGTTTTTTAAATTTAAACATGAAGTTCTCATGATCATGAGAATGATCATTCCAAGGTGCAAAAAAATATAAATGAGACATCATTCTGACTGTAGAGATACCATGCAACAAGCTGCCCTTAGACATAAGGATTGCCTTAGTGAGACATTACTACAGTAATAACTGCAATGCCAGAGGAGCTACGGCCATTCCAGCGTGAGACAGGATGGTGTAAAGGACCTTGCAGTGTCAGAGCATCCTAAAATCTGGTTAAAAGAAAATTATTTGAATAAATTTAAAGGACTGGTTCAGTCACCAATGCATCCCATATTGGCCACCCTACAACCCCTGTGAAAATTCTAGCTGAGGTGGGACAAGTGCCTGCTGATGTTTCTTGCAGAAATCCTCATGGGGAATACAGCACCAATCCAATTGCCAGACAAACAGAACTCCCCCAATCAACAGTGTGGAAAGAGATGCAGAAAACACTGAAACTGTTCCTATACAAGATAAGGCATGTCCAAGAACTGCAATCTGGTGACACACAAGCATGGCTGGATTTTGCACTCTGGTTTCTGATTTGGCTATGGTTTTTTGTGACAGTGACTGGCAAATGTTATCAATTGATGCTAGAAAGTGCTGTCATCCCCACACTTCAGGACCGTGGTGTTTTGCAAGAAATAATCTTGCAAATAATCTTGGTGGAGCCCCATCTTTATGCAAGATGAGGCTCCACCTCACATTGCACGGACTGTAAAAATGCTCTTGCAGATATCCTTTGGTGACCAGAAAATCAGCAGGCATTTTTCAAGCATGTGGCCCAACCTCACCCAAGCAGACTTTTGCTTTGGGGACATCTCAAGTCTGTTGTGTATCATGCAGCAATTGCCACCTTAATGGACCTCATACATGCTATTTTCCATCATGTGACCATGTTTGACGGACAGCTTTGGTCAGCCATCTATCACTGCATATCCTGAATACAAGCAAATGTAGACATTTCACAAGGGAAAAGACAAGGGAAATCAAATTGAGCAAATGCTGGTGGCCATATCTGATGATCCTATATTCCTCTTCCCCATGGTCCCATTAGTGTTCACACCAAATATTACAGCTTTGCAATGCATAGTGTCATTATTATAACTGTCTGAACATGGAAAGAAACTTCATACTAACCCTGTATATTCTATATTGTGCATACAAGAAGTAGTGATAGTTCAGCATAGCTCCTTCATATATTCATGTGCACTGCATTGGTGAGTGCTTCATTAGCTATGACTTTCTACATCTATGTGGAGTTTCAGCTTTTTATTTAGTGTCAGATACAGCTTTTTAAAGCATACTTGGTTGAATCAACTGATTAAATATGACTAATTTTAAAAAAAGAACAAAGGGCTGGCATTCAATTTTTTAACCATGAAGGTGATAAAGCTACCAAAATTCATAAGCAGTTGGAAGAAATTCTTGGAGGGATTATCATCTTGATGAGTAAAAAAAAGTAAAAAATACACTCACCCTGCTATCTCTTCAAAAGCTAACTGCATGGAATATCCCAATTTCCCCAAAGTTCCTGTCAGAATTTTGAAGAACTCTTGAGCAATAGTGTTCAGAAATTCAACCATCAAAACAGATCATATAACATTTACTATATTACCATATGTGATGGGCAGTCTCTACTCAAAGGTATCACTGAATATCATGCATATGAGGGGCTGGAAGATGACCTAAAGAAAATTTCAAGATATTACCCAACATTATCACTCTGCTCCAAATACTGGCAGAACTCTAACATATATAGTGACAATGGGAAAGAGAAAGGATAGTAACCATAGCTAAGCATGAAAAATATGCTGAACTTCTGGATATCCATTAGATCATATTATCTCCTGCTTCATGCTAAGTGTTACCAGAGTGAAATATCCATTAGAAGTACATGCCCATATGGTGCCTTTACCACTACAGTAAGCATGCAAATTCTAAATCAAGGCATGATGTGCAATTACTGCTGCACTAGGCAGTACCAATTGAACTACATGCTGCAAATAAATGATTGTTTCAAGCAGCTATAAAAGACACACACGCAGAGAATATAATATTCATAATAATAAAAAATTCCCTGCTCCTTGTGCTATTTCTAGCTTGCAAAAAAAGTCCCATAACTTCCCTTGACTGTTCATTATCTATTGCTTCAAACACAGCAAATTGCATAAGATCGGAGAGCAGTCTTTATTTACCTTTCCCATAACAAGCAATGGTGAGTTATCACCATTACTTGTTCTTTAAACAGAAGGAAATATACCAGCTTGAGCAGGTACAGGGAGTGGGGAGCTTTTCTTGGATAGGAATATTAGTTGTGCATGCAAATATTCACAGTAAAAAGGCTGTAAAAAAAATTATTGCAACTAAAATTAAAGCAGTTCATGGATATGCAGTGAACATTTTATCCTTGTACTCTAAGAAGTGAGAAGGGTAGACCATCAGACAGGATGTTCAAAAGTGAGTCATTAGCAATTTCTTTCTGATTTAGGAAATGGTGAAAGAAATCAAAATTCCAGAGAGAAAATTTAGCAGTTAAAAATATGAAATATGAAAATCCCAGATAAATTTCCAAATTTCCTGCTTACCAAAGATACTTAACTGTTTCCTTTGTCTCCATCTACCCATAAGGTATTTCAGAATAAAAGTTTTGCATGACTGGATCCAATAGGACAGGTTTTCCCAACAAATGCTGGCATTGGGACACTGCTATAACTCACTACTTATGCATTCCTTGCATGCATGAGATATATAGTAGTAACTTCTACAACTTCAAATCTATGTAAGAAATATTAAGCTGCAAACAGGAAGCAGTTTCTTGCAATAGTGATGAGCTGCATAAGCTTCAAAGCCTCAAGTTAGCCAACTTAAGGTGGTCTGTATGGGAGTAGATGAAGCATTGTGAGTATCATGCCTGATAAGAGAAGCAGGAATAGAAGATTGCTTTGTGGATATGTTTGTGTTCAAGTTGATCACAATTTTCAAGGAAGAGACAACAGACTTTTCCCCTTTCTTTTAGCATGACGATGAGGACATCTCCAGAACAGTCTGTCTTATACAGGGTGATTTCTTATTAATGGGACCATTATAAATATTTATAATCTTCAGAACAAATAGTGTTAGATGCCAAAATTTTGCATCAAAAATCCATAAACATGGGAAAGTTATACTCTATGAAAAAACATGTTCAGTGTGTCCTCTATGCACAATTACATGTTGTAGGGGTGTGGTGTAATTCTGCACAACTGCCTGCAGGGTATCCAGGAAAATGGAATAACTTCTCATTTCTCAGGTCTCTAAATGTGCATTGATTTAACCTAGGCTCAAAAACTTTGTCCTTAGGTATCCCCAGAAAAAATAGTCACATGGATTGAGATCATGGCCTGCCTGTTAACCTGTTAGCCGGCCTGTTAACATTGTGTTAGACTTCCTGCACAAGAACTCTAGTACCAGAATGCTGTCTAGCAGATTTCTTGATATCCACAGTGGTGGATCAGTATGGTCACCATTTCCTCCCAATCTCAATCCATGTGGCTATTTCCTCTGGGGATACCTAAAGAACAAAGTCTTCAAGTCAAAGTTAAATCCATACTTGTTTGGAGACTTGAAGAACTCCACAGAACATGAAGTCTGCTCCATTTCCCGGGATACTCTACAGGCAGTTGTGCAGAATTACACCACACCCCTACAACATGTAATTGTGCACAGAGGACACATTGAACATGTTTTTTCATAGAGTATAATTTTCCAGATTCTTGATGAAAATTTTCATGCATCTAACTATTTTTTCCAAGATTAAAAATATTTATCATGGTTCCATGAATAAAAAATCACCCTGTGTAAGATACATTTGCCCAACAGGGCATATCTGAAATTCAAGCACCATAATAGAAGTCTTACAAATTGAGGAGTAGTATATACATGTATCATGCATATACCTTTGCAGAGTATTACTGCTTGATCTATGAGGGGCATTCAATAAGTCTTTGCACTTCACTTGATTTCCTTATCCAATTCCAGTTTATTTTTTCCCACCAGGTAAATAATGTTTTTGAATATGCTAAATGGCAGGAATCTAGTGCAAATAGTTTGCTGTCAGTTAAATTTTACGAGCAGTGATGCTTTACTCATCTGTAGAGCCCTCAAATTATGACAAACTATCATCAGAGCTTGCCAGACATTTAAACACCTATTTAAAGTTGAGTAAACAGTATGCAGAGTCTTGTGAGGTGACCAAAAGAAAAACCAGCAGGAGAGAAAGTCTTTGGAGGATGGCAAGAGAGTGACACATAAGTCTGTGAACTGTTGCACCCGATTTCGAATAAGATTCCTATAGGGTGCCTGTTTCTTGAACTCATGTTGATATCTCCGTTGAACCCTGATAATTGACTCGGTTTCTGCGGTGTGTTTATTTTATTTATAATTCACCCTGTAACACAAAATAACAAGCACCAACTAAAAACAATTACATATTTAAAAACTTAGTTAATGGTTACACTAATTTACCGCTTTTCTCTATTGCAAGCAATCATAAAGTTAAGAGAGATGAGAGATTACTATTGCACCATTATTTCTCGGACATCCTGTAATTCTCGATCATCTCAAACAATCCTCCAGCATATCCAGAACATAAGGGCGGAAACGAAACTAGAGGCTAGTGGCAATTTTCAGACCCATCAACGCATCTGCTGCGAGGACTTCCTATTTTTTGTGCTGATACCACATGTTCCTCTCGTGCACTAAGAGAATCATCCAAGAAAGTTTGGATACCTGCGGAGAAATGACTTTGTCACATTGCATTTCTGTCACCTTGGAAATGCTTTCTTGTTAAGTTCGAGATACCTAAGAGTCCGCTAGATCTACAGTTGAAAACGAAATTATTGGGTGATGAACGCGATCAGTGGAGTTCAGCCTACGTTGTCGCGTGACCAAAAACTTTGAACTTGATGTTCTAGAGTACAGTAAAATAATCTCATTGTCCCCCCCCCGGCCAAAGACGTCGGATACAATCGCACGCTCTCCGATTGTCGCCCGAAGCATCGTATGCCCCTCCTCCCCCAGCCCCCACGGTCTAACTTTCCCCCTCCGATGCGTCTCCGACAGAAAAAAGAAGCGTGTGCGACGGCCTTGAGAGGACGACGCCTACGATTTGTGGCCTCCCATACGATCAGTCATCATGACTGTCCTTCACCGCTACAAGTGCAATGAGATCTGAGCGTTTGCTTCTTGTAAACAACTTGACACTCTGCATTCCCCCCTAAGCCTGGCAAGCGAATTTAACCGTAGCAGGCCTTGAGCCATGGGACAAGAGACCGGGATGCTCTCCATGTCCATATATGGAATACCGATACCCAACACTTAAATATCGACTAAGTGATTCACAAACACCCAACTCAGAATGAGGAGGGCACGAGCAAGGAAAATTGATGAATTCTCGCAAGTTCGTCATCAAATATGAGGGATCGAGGGCGAAAACTTGGGCATAAATTATATATCATTATTCACACAAGCCATGGCAATACATGAAAGTATACCCTCAAATTAATGGGCTAGGACTTACGGTCCCAAAGCGATGAAAGATGAGATATTCTTCTGCCGTGGTATTCATCCCAAGGTTGGTAAGTTTCCAACTGATGATCTAGAAAACGAGAAGACATCCCTTAGTATGCGGTGATGGTTGAACATGGAAAGCATGCCTCTATGCATGAAAAACTGGCGCCGAACAATAGCACTGCACATAATCATATCCTGATCTGAATGCCGAGAGCTTTCACGTGTTCCGGTGAAGATGAAAATTGTCGATCTTTTCCTCCGTTAACATTTACATATCCTCTCCGCGCCCCGAGCAACACTTTACTGTAACGAAATTAAAAGGCTCATCGATCCGACCACGAAAATGTCAACCCAAATGCTTTGGACTCAAGAGAGAATCCCTATCCTTCGACTCATTGATCACCCCTTAATGTGAAAGAAATAGCCAGATTGGCCCCGGGCCAGGATCTCGACTCTTTCTTTTCCTCTCTTTCCCCTTCGCCATCCTTCCAAATCATCATCCTTTTGTCACATGTACAGGATGGCGCAAAAGTCGCGCACCATAGAGGATTTCACTGTTGCACAACATTAATTCTCGTTTCTTCCTTTGCAAGTAACTGATGGCAGCAAAATTAACAAAAGACGAGAAGGTGGAGTTAAGATAAGTTCAAACATTATCTTTGTACAACGAATCAAAATGTTTTCAAGTTAATGGCAAACGATTCGAACATTTACTGTAATTTACCCTATGGTACGCGACTTTTGCGCCACCCTGTACATCTCAAATATCCCGCGGATGAGCAGGATAAAAGAAGGAAGGTATCAGGAGAGGGAGAACCTTGTCTTTGATGGTCTCCATGACGCCGGCCACAGTGGAAGTCGGATGGATGAGAATCAGGCCGAGGACACGACTGGGATGAGCCAATCCAAATCGAGCAAGGATATTCGCTCCGGCTCCTTCTCCCAGACCAACAACGAATTTCACGTCCAGCATATCCAAGACGGTAGACATGGCATCGCCGAGGTCTTGCATGGCAGGAAAGACGAACCCGTCCGGCAAATCGGGGGCATTATCCTCTTGGCCCGGAACATCCACGTGAATAAACACGGAGCGTTGCTTGATCTCGGACATTGCCGGATGTTCCACGAAGTCGTGAAAGGACGTATCTACAAGGAAAATAAAATCTCAAACTTATGGCCGCACTTTTATATGTTGCATTTCCAAGAGATCCGATGGTAATGCTCATCAATTCTCAAAAGTTACGTAAGAAAATGGAGCCCAAGTGCTACCAACTTTTAAGGTGGATTTTTGTACAGAGCACTATCCGATAATGCAGCTTTACTTTACAGAGAAAATGCATGATAAATCCGGTAAATAAAGCTGCATTATCGGATAGTGCTCTGTTCAAAAATTCACCCTTAGTCTTTCTGGCTTCCTTCACTATTTCACAGAATCCATGCAGATTTTAAGGTTTAACACGCCTTCTTTTTTTCTCTACGTAATCTCTCATGGTGATAGGATGGAAACAGAAGAAATAAGTCTGAACCTCTGGAGGGAAAAGCATATCGAGTCAAGCAATTTCCTCTTTGCACTCTATAAATGGAGATTTATTCATGGGCATTACTGGAAGGATTTCTCAACCGATGCCCAAGAAGTGCGGCAAGGAGAGACGTAAGACGGATTCTCTAAGGGCAGAGAGAAACCCGTGAGTCAAGGAATGAGACTGGATTGGACGACGATAGCATCTCAGGGTCGCACCATTCTACTCCCTCAACATGTCAAGCCAGTCCTGCTCCTCCATGAAGAGGAGGGAAGCTGGTATTGTTAAACGAATGCCAGTCACGGCGAACGAGAGGTAGCACTCGCTCAAGGCAAGAATATACAGGGTGTTCCTATCATGAATGCCCCACTGATCTTTATGGTGAGGTTTTCATATGCACACTTATTATATATTTCTACTCGCTTCCCCATTGTTCTCGACGCACTTTGAAAGTCGTCAAAGAATTTCACTGCAGATCATACGGAGCAAGGACAGACTCACGGGGAGTAACCAGAAACGGAACATCCTGCATCTCTAAAGATTAATGGTACCCCGGTCGTACTCAGTGGTCGACGCATGCACGTCTGCCTCTCTTGCCTTGCCTACGGCCATGGATCCATTCCATTCTCAGCGGCTAGATCCTATTTTTTCTTCTTCTCTATCTCCACTCCATCGATTCCACAACGTCCGTCCGTAAATCTTAAGGTGCGTTCACACCAACCTCAGCATAGCATAAGGTGACATAACATAACACAAGTACCCTTGTGTAGTAAAAACCAGGGCTCTAGGGCCTGTGCGAAGAGTTGAGCTGGATTCAACTTAGCGCAAAAGGAACCCATGCTCAGCCAATCAGAGCAGAGATGTGTAATCAAACTCATCATGGCGGTTTGGATGGAGGAACTCCTTATAATTGAAGTCCGAAGGTGATGTCAAAAGCAGGCCATTAACATCCATAGTGAGGAATAAGATTCTACTATGCAGGGTCTACTCGGGACTTCAATCTGCTCACTGCCTAGAAGCCTAATGCACCATATTGATGACAAGAACCGCATAGCACGACGTCAGTGTGAACAAGAATCTTTAGGTGCTGTGCTATTTTATGTCAGTCATGCTATGCTATGTGGTTGGTGTGAACGTTTAACCCTTTGGACTCCATTTTTCTTAAACGTATCCGCTCCACCAATGAACTATTTACAAAAATGATAAGCTAGGGAAAAACAGTCATGTTTTCGCCATCGAGCTGGGTTCGACATTGAAGAGGAAGAAGGAGAAAATGTGTGCCTTACCAGGTTAGAGAACGAGCTTGACTTAGGGATATTGGCGATGTTGGACTGAGCTCTACCAAGAAGTGCAAGAGGTTAATCGCAAAATGTTCGCCAGCAATCGTGAAGGTGAAACTTTGAGAGCGTCGGAGTCTACGTTTTCCAGAAACTTTCCGTTTTAACAAATATACCCCTTTTAGACAGATCTAGCACAAAAATTACTATATCTGGAAGTTTATTATGGGGAAGAGTGGACTCGTTCAATCTTCACCTGAATGCAGGCGATTGTCTGTGGCAATACCAAAAGAGACAAGGAGATCTAGATTCCGAGAGTAGGATACGGAAAGTACATGAAACGCTTGATCGGCCTGGCATGCGTTAACCTTTTGAGCCACATATTACTGAAAAATCATTCGTCAATATTCATATATATTTTTTATGTAGTCAGCTGTAACATAAAAACAAAGCTGTTCCTGTTTCTGCCGCTAGGTAAGAGCACCAATCAAGCGACCATAGTGGTTTCAGAGTAAAACTACCTTTCCAGAGCCGTGCTATGAGCTATGAAAGGTGATAATACTGCAAAACCACTCCGACCCAAGGGGTCAAGAATGAACTTAAGGGCTAAATATACTTTAAATAATTTTAAAACTATTTTCAGCCCCCGTGCACAAAAGGGCACGAGGTGAGCAAGAGGTTAAACAAAGGGTAGGAGGAAAAAACGCTTAGATAGAAAGATACTCAGACTTACGATTGCATCCCAGATCATGAATGGTAAGGAAGACGGCCTTCTTGTCGTGATTGACTAGGTCCCCCTGCAAGAAAAGCATTCAAATTTTACAGTAAAATCACTGACCTATCATAGTAGCAATTTTAAAATAGAAGAAAAGAAACGGATTATAATTATCTGAGAATCCTGACATTCTGGTACCGATACTCTTATTTCAACCATTTCTCAAGATATTAGATCCCGCAACAGGTTCCAAAGATTTGTGGTCTGACGAGACTTACTCAGGAGAAATAATAAATAGGTTCACTACTGGATCAATGTGACAGACGCGTTACGCCAAAATATCGACTCATATCAAACAGGCGTAGAAGAACATGAGTTTTGCATCACGCTATCAAACGTAAGCGTGGGTAAGGCAGAGCTTTTTCTACTTGTGACAAAAAAGCTATGGGCTTAAAGGCATGGCTTGGGCTACACATTTATAATGTCATTGAAGCGCCAACATGGAAGGTTGACGTGATTGCTCTCTGGGGTAGAAGACGAAGTGGGCGAGAAATGAAACTCGTGATGGCGATGGCGAGGACGAAAAGGGAGAACGGTCACCAGCAACAGAAGGTTATGCTTTCAAAGGTCATGTAATCTGAACTTTCCAGGCCTTTTGGAGAGCAACATCATGGATCGTTACTTATTCGTTTCGCCCTTCATCTTTCGACTTGTGAACTATCAATATCGTCTTTACATAAACGCTTTAAGAATGTATAATGCATAACATATAATACATAATGTATTTTTGTGCGATTTTACCCTGTATCGACGTATTCAATGGATTTTGGGGAATCGTGCACCCTCCAAAATATGTCATAGGTTACTGTGGCATTCAACGGGAGGTTTGGCAGTGGGGGTTTGTTAGTTTGGATCTCCTTTCTGGAGATCCAAATTATGCATACATTACCAAACATCCATTATCAGTTAGAATAGAGTAGAATGTGAAGCAATATTTCGTTGAGATACAATGCAATGTCAGGGAATCATGGCAGATGGATATTGAATCGCACATCGCCCAGGGAATGGACCCCTCTCCATTACAAGCAGCGAGCCTAATCTCGTGGAACAAAATAAGAAAAGTGACCTTAGGTTTGAATTGCTCGACCTCAGACCCGATTCACACGAAACCTGTTTCTCTCTAATGGAAAGAAAACACGCCAGAAAGTAGATTCTTGGCATCCGCACCCAGAATTTCCAAAGGGAGTAAGGGAAGTCAAGGATGACACGCCAAGGCGACGCAATTTCTGGCTAATGGAACGGCTAATGGAGAGGGTGTGATACTCGATGGAGCCATTTGTTCCTATTGGATGACGTCAGAGGGCTACCTCCCAAATTAATGGCCCATCGGATTGCGATAGCTCAAGTAAAAAAATTAGAGCTGTCAATCGATTGCAAAAAATGGTTAAATCAAGACTTGTGGATTAATCGATTCATCAATTCGCGATTAATCGGTTCATAATTCCCTGAATCTGGTGAAGAGACCATACAATTTTATTGGAGACAAATGAAACTCTCTCGCTAAAAGACAATGCTGTCATATCATTGTACAAAGAAGAAAATGATGAATGCGCTCTATATACTTCCATGTCACACAATCCCACCAAAATCATCTTAATTTTAGTTCATTTGGAATCCGTGAGTATAGGCAATGGAGGAAAATTTCCTTATGCGGTTTAGGTAGTATCTACAGGGTGATCCACAAATTGTACAACGATTTTATGATGATAATTAAAAATACACTATATTTATTTAGGAGAAATATGCTTTTTTTACTTGCAGAAAATGATTTAAGATGACCATCATTCCTGTTAACACACTCTCTGTAAAGTATCTAAGTATTGCTCATTGTTTCTGTTAGTGTTTGTATGCTAACCTCTGATGAACTGCAGAATGCTTCTGCCTCAAAATGCATAAGGGTTAAAAAGAGGCATCCTGCAGTTCATCAGAGGGACTTGCATACAAACACTAACAGAAACAATGAACAAAGCTCTGCTAAGTTACAGAGTTTGTTAACAAGAATGGTGGTCAACTTAATAACAATTTTCCGAAAGAAAAAAAATGCATATTTGTATTAAATGCCTTGTAAAAATTCTGATTCTGGTTCGGTCCCGAATATTCTTTGAGTTTCTCTCGCTGAGTTTTTCATTCCATCGATGGCCATTATTAAATGGAATTCCAATTCGAATCTGAGTTAGGACGAGTCTTTCCACATTCTTCGAAAATCAGAGTAACCCTTGCCCTACCTCAAGTCCTGTTCGATATTTAAGAGCTGAGCAGGATGCATTTCTCGGCTCAAATGGCATAGAAATCAACGTCTAGAGTAGACCAAACATGGCTCAATCACAGCTCATCATTGCACAAAATAATCCTCTAATTGGGATTCTTGATTCTGGATAAAGAGGATTTGGAAGCGCAAAGGGGACCTCCTCTCTTTTCGTACTGTCACCTTTAGTTGCATTGGGGGCCAAAAAAGCCGACAGTTTTCAACAATACATTACATTTCATTCACTGCATATATATTTTTACACGGTTTACGGCATTTGAAAGAGGAATGAATAAGCTTATAAATAATGTGCTTACTTTTCAAACATCTTCAACAGTTTTAGAAATTCGGGAGCTCAAATGAACATGAAACAAAAACTGAGCGCACTCGGACGCTGACGGAATGGGAACTTCAGCTGTCGCTTGTCCATCCCACTGCTAAAATAAACTTCAGTTTTATTTGTAGTTCATATGAGCTTCAAATTTCTGAAACTGTTGAATATATCTGAAATGTAATAAACCATTTTAAAGCTTAGTCATTCGTCCTTCAAATGCCGCAAATCGCAATAAAATATATGCAGTGAGTGGAAGGCATCGTTGAAAACTGTTCCCTTTTTTTTTGCCCACCATGTTTTTCGATTGCATTAGGGTCTCTCCAAAGTGTTGGACGTGAAACCTGGAGTAATATATTATCAGTATACGAAAATTACGTATACTGATATTGTAAATGACGAATTAACCCATAAAGGGAGTAGAATTCAATCATTCAAAATCCTGCTAGGACTTTGAATACTCTCTTTTGCTACGGGTGCATGCGTATCCATAAGCGAAGAACTGTGTCGGACGTGACATTTCATGAAACTCAAGGTTAGTCACTTCCTCTAGTGGTCGTCATATTTCTGTGATATACAGGAACCCATCATTCTATGCTCATTCTATAGATGAAAGGAATACCTGAAATCATTGAAGTTACCCTCTGATTGCAGTACTAGGAAAAGAAAGCAAGGCTATTTTGTGATTGAGTTGAATGTGATATATCTGAAAGTTTATTTGAAGCCGAAAACGAATAGTCTGCATACATAGTTTAATGTGCAGCTTAGAATATCGCTCAAATGTGAAAAACTTGGCATAATCTATTCACACCTGAGCTTATTTGAAATTATTACTCAGCATGGGTTCTCTGGTGAGAGTGAATAGGCTGTAGTCCTATTCAGTCTCTCCAGATTTGAATTGTCATCATAACAATGAATTTCATGTTCGTGGTATGAGTAATATAAATATAAAATTCACTAGTTCTTTCGTTTTTAAAATTATTTTTGGTTCGTTCCTGTCCTCATGGCTGAATATCATGAACTTTTGTATAGACTGAAATATCAGAAAATTTAGAGAAATTTCATTTTCAGGCTCTCCGGACCACTTGGCGCGGACAGACCCATTACGAGATTTTTCTTGCGCCGGTTCGTGGCTGGCTGTCTACACACTGACTGCACAAAGCCCATGAATAAGCGCGAATACATTTAGAGTATTTTATAATGCTATTCGAATACTGTAAACAGTAGACGGGCTTGTGTATGCCATGCTGTGCTGTCATCGGGCCACTGATTTTACTTTCACTGGCCATTCAAGTACAAGCGGAGCACAGTCCAGCCCAACGGAGAACCTCTTTCGAATGTACCGTCACAGATGATATAGCCTACTATATGAAACGTTAAAAAGTTGAATTGAAAGGATGAAAGAGAAAGGGGGGGGGGGACAGAGAAAAAAACTGTGCGTTGGTAGGGACGACCCCACGGGCCTAGCTGGGATGTCCCTCCACCCGTGTGTTACTCTTCTCTAAAATACTCCAAACTTCAGATTCCTTCTACAGCGTGTCTTTTGAGTCCGGCATTAATTATAACTATTTCACACAATCTCAAAGAAACATGCATATTCACATGTGTTCCATGTATTGGCCTTCGTGTCGTTGTTCAACGAGGTCCACTGTGGAGTCAATCCACACTACATGTATATTTCTTTTCGTTTCAATATCCTTTGCAATACCCAGGAATGAACAGCGCTTTCATCACTACATTTGACATTTCCACTCATGAGGATTATCTCCATACGTTCCTCTTTTCATAATAACATTCAAAATGTTCGGCCTACCGGTTAAAAATAAAGCCACTCTTATATGTACTGAAAGAGATCCAACACTCTTTCTAGGATGCTGTACTTGTTAATGGATGAAATATCTCCTCGACCCGATGTCAAGTATGTTGGATTTGAGAGGTTCGATTCTTGAAGCAAGGTATTCATATTTCAGAAGCAGTTTATGAAGGTGCTCACAAGGACATCCGGGCGATTGCCCAAGCTTCATTTCTATTTCAAAAGAAAGAAGGCTCGCTAGGAAGAAGAAAAACAAGAAAAAAAACCTGTCGGCTGCTGCAAACCAAGGTCTTCTATTTTTTCCCCTCGTGAATTCTTACTATATATGTACAAGAAATATAAGGAACGGGCATGCAGGGAATCTGTTTACTTGCGTTCTTCGCAGGCAACTAATACAAATTTTCACTATCGTGAACATGGAAAATCATGAAACGCCACGACCGATTCGGTCTGGATCAGGACAGTCATTTCAAAGACATAATCGAAGTCGCTGGCAGATACGCCCGACTTTGACAGCAGGAAGAATGCAATCGTTCTCGGATAAAAGTACAGGGAGTTTCGCAATCATAAAATTCGAAAGAAAATTTTCAACATAACGAATTTGAATGGCGATTAATGAATTGTTGATAATAATGAATAAGTATAGACGAAATACGCGGTAAACGGATGGTGCTGAAGCCCGCTGACTGCCGAGTGAAGGAACAAACGAGACTAAAATGAAAAGTACATTGACCAACATGATTGTTAAAAAGTTGAATATTGAAAGTCACGAACATTGATTGATTCACATCGAAGACGTTCAAAATGCTCAAGACTGGACGAGAGGGATATATTTCCAGTTGTTTGGTACACTAGAGGCTGCGTGAAGGAAGCCGCAATCGATCCATCGCGACTGCATCCTTTCATCCATGTTCGTTCTTCGCCTCTTTTCAGGTCATCGATTACTTACGTAGGTAGTCTCCTACTCGAGCGGAGACGCTCAAGAATAAAGGGCAGCAACACTCAATAAACGCAAACACTATCTTAACATGATTGCAACCAAAGTGCAGGCCTGACATGCATGGCAAAACTAATAAAATTAATGGACAGAAATGTCGAAATGTCCCTTAATACGAGCTAGACTGTGACAGTTTCTTTCATGTAACCAAGATAAAACTCAAAAAGAGCGTTACGAAGGTCAGCAGCTTGATCCTATCCTAGCGCGCAATCGGCAGTTATTTCCGTCGACACTATATCACAAGTCCAATTCGGGCTTGACGATCTTGGGACACGAAACGACTTGGTTGATTGAAATGGAAGTCACACTCATCTTGCGTCGTCCCTCGCCCTTCCCCTTAAAAAAGACCCATTCGATATCAAATTTATTTATATACGCCTTGCTAACACATTTCTGACGTAAATAGGAATTCTAATGGAAAGCCCACAAGAATATATAAAACATGAACGAGGAGAGCTGCAGTGAGGCTTTATACCATCAAGCTGATGAGTCAGCTCTCAGATAGCAGTTCCAGAAGGAACAGACGACAATGAAATTAAGTCTCGCAGCAGCATTATTTGTTTTGGCCCCATCATGAACTTCATTATTGCAGCTCTTTCGTTACGCATACTGATTACACCTGGATGAGAAAAGGGCATGAAAGAGTTAGATGGATTCTTGGAGGCAATTGCGTAAAGGGCCTTTTGGGACAACTTGTATGGTAACCATACCATTCCACGAAAATGTAAGGTTTCTTTCGAGCTAGAAGGAAAGAGAAAAAAAAAAAGAGGGAAATAGGAAAAGGGCCGGATTCCCTTTTGCTTTTTCTCGGCCGAGGAGGAATTGGAGCACCAGTCAAGGGCGCCACAATCCCCCGCAGGAAATCAGCACGAAAAGAATGAAAAAGAACATCTAAAATGTCTAGAACTGTGATATGATACACCACAGGGTGTCCAGAAAGTCTCTACCCCATGGCAAATACATCTAATTTCTCTTAAAGTGTTTTAAAGCAGAATATGCGCTACCTGTCGCAGAAAAATCTGCATTAGATGTCATCGACCAAACAGCAAGGATCTGAAAAACGTATGGTGTAGTGCTATGGGGTACACATGTCAGGACCATTTTTCTTTGAGGTAACTTTAAATGGTGAGCGATACCCAAACATGTTAGAAGATTAATTAATGCCTTAAATTGATAAACTCGGAGAGTCTGCCTGAGTGGTTCCAGCAAGATGGTAGACCCCCTCATTATGCATTATCCGTTCGTGATTGGCTAGATGAGAACTTCCCAGGACGATGGATTGGCAGGCGTTGCCCCATGGAATGGGCTCCACGTTCACCGGATCTCACTCCAATGGACTTTTTCTTATAGGGGTCCCTTAAGGCAGAGGTGTACCAAGAAAAAATTAAGTCTCTCGATCATCCCCATGAAAAGATCACACGCATTTGCGCATCCATTGATGGCGATGAGAGCTTGTTCCAAGGGGTTCACAGGAGTAGGAAGTACTGACTGCAATCGTGCTTTGAACTGAATGGGGAACATTTTGAACAATTATGATTTTGTTCCACATCAATTAGAGTTTCAGTGTATTTCCTATTGGTTAGAGACTTTCCGGACACACTGTACTTTCAAAGCGGGGAAGAGATAGGTTCCTACTTTTAAAAAACAAAAATTTTGTATCAGCAGCCTATGTCACAGCACTAATACGCTTCGCGTGAAAGATGTTCACAAAATGCTTACCGTAAATGAGATTGGACAGCGAAAGGGGAAATAAAAATGTAATATCGCCAGCGATGACTTCGATGGAAGTAAATACGAGAGGACATACAAACTTGAGTAGGAAATGCTTGACCCTATATGTCTAAGTCAGGGGTGCACAACATGCTTCTCATAACTGGTGGCTATGGAAGTGCTACTAGGGTTCCTGCCCTGTTGGCCACAGCTATGATCAGCAAGACTAGCAGAAGGTGGGAGGACTGGCAGCTGTATGTTAGTAAAAATCTCAAATGGCCCTCATAATCTTTTGAGTTGTGCACCCGTGATTTAAGTGGTCCTGGAAGAGCTTGCGGTCGCTGGAAAGCAAGGAAAAACTTGAATCTCATACTGTACAAAGTGTTCCTAAATTATATTTCCTATTTTGAACGCAAATAAAAAATTATCTAATAGGCATACAAAAAATGCAGTTTGCACCATCTTGTAGCCTGACAGAAAGAGTTTTTATTGACATGTCAGTAGACTTCCACATCTGCTTCGTTAGTGGCTCTCAGCACGTCCAACCTATATTTCGATTTCAGACCACGTTCGCTGCAATATGTCCACAGTCACACTGGTGATAGCGTCCGTTATCCTGATCGGTAGTTCTACGACTTTTTTTTTTACTATATGAGCAATTTGTGGTCCTACGACTGGAGGAAACACAACCTTAAATCATCTTTCAACAAGATGGTTTGCCACCCCACTCGAGTTTGCTGGTCAGGCGATTCCTGGACCAGACGTTTCCAGGACGATGGATTGGTCTGGATGAGCCAGTTCCGTGAACTCCACCGTTCGCCGCACATCACCCCACTAGACTTATTTCTTTCGGGTATGTCAAAGACGTCGTGTATCGTACACCTATAGCAAACATCGCGGAACAAGATCAGGATAACGGACGCCATCGCTGTGTAACTGTGGACATATTGCAGCGAACGTGGACTGAAATTAAAATATCGGTTGGACGTGCTGAGAGCTACTAACGAAGCAGATGTGGAAGTCTACTGACATGTTAATAAAAACTCTCTGTCAGGCTACAAGATGGTGCAAACTGCATTTTTGTATGCCTATTATTTTTTTTTAAATTTGCGTTCAAAATAGGAAAGACAATTTAGGAACACCCTATATTCATTTGCCTTGAAAGTCCCAGTTCTAGACTAGGACACTCGATGTGCGTGTGATCATGACGTCGTGATCTTGGTAGCCGTAACTTCGTTTTATGAGGCAATACGACTGCATCAAAATGAAACAAAGCATACGCATTTTTGGTCTCCTAAGGAATGCCACTTAAAGCCAGAATAGCAGAAACTTCATATAAATGAATATAGGCTTTTTGATAATACTACATGATGGAGAGAGCCATGAATTCGTGGCTTCAAAGCTTTGGACGTGAAAAATCGTCCCAGCTCCATTGCTGATAAGGGTGGAGTCATGGTCAGGAACATGATTGTAGACAATATTTTACGGTCGTAATTGGAAGTCACAAGCACTCCGTTTATTCCGTGAAAGTATTTCTGAAAATGTTCCTGTACAAATACATTATCATGAAAGAGTGCTTGCTGAGAACACCAATCAAAGAGTACGAAATTCGTGAATGTACCCCCCCCCTAGCTCTCGTCCAACTGCAGCCACCCTCTTTTTTTTTTGTTTCTTCAACCGAGCTGGTTGACCAAGAGATGCGATCCGTATATACAGTATCTCGGGAAAAAATATCCTGACTTACTGTCTTGGAATTGTATTCCATGGATAGGAATGATAAAAGGAGCACACTGAATATATGCAAAGCAATATTATATACGGTGGAAAGATTCCGACAGTGATTCTAAGTAAACAGAGACTGAATAAAAAAGAAGACTGCGTAGCATACCTCAAGGAACCCATTTTTTCCGAGCAAACACGAACGAAAACACTCACAAAGTTCGGGTTTATGAAACATTTAGCATCCTGGCGCACAATTCTTTCTTCTTTTTTCATGCAGCGAATGCCACCATACATAAGGCCTCAGCTCAGATATCAGGCTTGGCAGCCTAAATATTACTTTCGTTAGCACAGCTTCATGCCACAAAAATATTGCAATCCGAAGTAAATAAGAGCACTACAAAATTGGCTGTATCTCGGCTGACATTAATCAATCAAAAAGCGCTTAGAGGACCAGAAATTATCCTTAATCCTGACATCACTTGAGACTGTCATGCCTTCATTAATGCTTTCTTTTTCTGAGACGATCAACTTCGAACTCCTGGAAAAGCTCCTTCAATGTAATGACCCACAGTCTCATAGTGAAAACGGGCCATTCAGACGGAATCCTGTGATCAGGAGGAGAACGAAGCGGAAACTTTTCGGGATCCCACTTCACTTGCTCCGCAGTAATTTATGTAAGTATCGATCCATGTGGCCACCCCCTCTACTCATGCGAGTCTGTGTGATGCATCACAATGATACTTAGAATGAGACAATACCTCCCATTTGAATTCATGGAAGGAATAATTTCTTACCTGCACAAAGACGGTGACATCACCACATCTCTCCGTTGGGATGGTATGTTTCTGTAGAAGAGAGAGGGAAAGTACAACATATTTCGAGAAAAATCAGTTTCTATCGGTATTTGGTTATAATGAGAAATGGAAACCGACAGGCTCATAAAATGCACAACCGAGACGGAATCCATAACCAGTTCCAATATTGCCTTATTGAAGAAAATTCACAGCAGGTAAGGAAACAACATGCGAAAGAAAGCACTGCCAGATTGGAAGCATACAAAATGGGGATGAGTTCAGTCTTGGAAGATATTCCTCTAGGCAAATGCTACTTTTGCATGCTTGTTATTTCTTCATAAGAACAAAGTGATCTGAACTAGTAACGCTTGAAGAAATTGCAACAGCAAAAACCACGTCATGGATTTCTGAAATGAAGTTGCTAGGCAAAGCAGGCTGCCATCTCAATAAGTGGAAAGAGAGATCATAACAGGTCAGATCTGTTGAACGCTGCTACAACGTTCCCCAACTGAAACTATAAAAATTAAAAACGCGTAGCATGCATCTTTAGTATCAGGAATTACTCACCCTCAACACTCCTAGCATCATGGGGATGTTAGTCTGTTAGAGGGATACAAAAAATATACATAACTCCTTAAAAAAAAACATGTAACTAATATTTAACAGCAATCTCCAACACTCCTAGAGATCCCTTCATTACTTTTTCTTTTCAATCATGATAAACTCACCTTCAGAGTCATTGTCGCTAATAGAGGTATTCACTCTGTTTTACCTATGCCAGAACACCAGAAGCAAGAGCAGCCAAAATGATAGGCCACGTGCACACGAACATGAAAAGTTCTGAGCAGTGTGACCACACGTTCCCCTAGATAAGGCACATGTTTAATGCGAATACGACTTTCTATCTGATCATTTCTATCGCTAGTCTCTATCAACAACAGATCTTTAAAAAAAAAAGATTCCTGATGCATTCGAAGAGCTTAGAGCTGGGTCATATGATGGCGATAAAAACTTTTTCTGGGAAGAGATCCCCAGACAAAGCAAGATCTCCGGAATGATGCGATAAATCACTACAGTTCAACCCACCACCTAACACAACTAAGCACAAATTTCGCGATTGCCCTTGTCAGAGTGTTGGAAAGTCAAGATGGGAAACACCCAAGCGCAAGAGGGAAGCACCCTCATACGCACTATTAAGAGGCAGTGAGTGACTTCTGCGCCAACAAGTGGGGTACGAGGTACGCGGATATTAAGATCGGTCCAATACGTAGTTCACTCTGCACGTAGGCCTTTGAATGAGTCCAAACAATAACTGCCCAAGCTCAGACACGGACGTCTCGCAAGCTATCAACAAGAAGGCCAGCCCGGTTGCTCTTCAGATGATTCGTTTGACTGGTGTCGGTTTGCGTGCGGAAAGAAAGACGAGTTTGACGGAGTGCACGAAGATATGACGGCTGAAAAAACCAACACAATAGGGAAGTGCTCGACTAAAAAGGAAGTTTCCAACGATCTAGTGTCTTTAAGTGAATTTTTATTACACCTGCGCGCCCTGCTGATAAGAACTAGGCGATTTACCAAAAACTTCCTCAGCCAGCTAGAAGTACTCACACACATCAAATGCACATCACGTTAAAGTATGGCCTGTCTTGTTCCACTTTTGTGCCAGCCAGTGTTCCACACAAGCGTACAGGTTGGCACGTCGCAAACGGAGGAGAAAGCCGCTACCAAGAATGCCAATCCCCTCAGAAACTTGGCTCGGATCCTGTTCTGACGTCTTCGAGAGTGAGACATGGGATCCCTCCTTTCCACGCTGCATATTTAGAATCCGGGTTGGGCTCATTTGTAAGACGCGTTACGCTACCAGTGCCAATGTGGACAACGACTTGTACCCCCTGTAGTGTCACTCGTGAAAGAACTTCAACTGGTACCCCTATGCGACTTATGATGTCTAAGACGAAGAATAATTATACAATATGTTCTCGATTCCAGGTTCAGCAAATCTGAACGCCAAATACTTCAGCTGCTGGAATCCTGTCTCAAGTCTGAAGGACAGTTATGTTACTTCAAGATTACGTCTATGGCGGTGAGCAATATAACCTACACTACTATATCCACATAAACTGCTGCTCCTTGCTTGGCATACGAGTGCACTGGTACTTTCACATTCTAAGATCGAAGGGGCTTTAAAGTGCTGCTAACGGTAGTAACAGTTTCCTTTTTAAACTGTACTGTAAACAAATTATACATTACCTCAGAAGTATAATTAATGACAAGGCTTCTGGCAGATTATGCGGAACCAACAGACTGATAAGCGTCTAACTTACAAAGTTATTAGATTATAGCTTCCCCAACAACACAACTGACAA